CCATAACAGAGTTCTAAGTGGAGCAAAAGAACCAAAGGATTGGACATTCATACATCATAAGTGGGTGACAACATGGGAGCATCAACATGAATGTATTTTAGAAGGAGTCCAGCCTCATAATTTCTATTCTTCTAATGAATATTGGGCATGGTACACATTGTATGCAATGGATTGGCTATGGTTATCCCCAGATGCAAGACCTAGCACCTCAACAATGATTGTTGCCTATGGAGCCATCATTTTCTCAGTATGATGACATTCCTATGGATGTAACACATATCCAGTTACAAGATATTCCATCAGCTTCTATACAACCAAATCAAAAGTATTATTGGTCACCTGAAAAGAATGAGTGATAACCTTTTCAATGGGATGAATAATCACCACAACCACAACAAGGACGTATGTTTGCAGGTAGGGTAGATGTTGGATGTGGTGGAACAAGCAGGCAAGAAAGAGGTCAAAGGTCAGTTGATTGTAGTAGTACCATTGGATTTTCTCATGGATTTATTTTAACATATGATTTTGTGATAGATTTAGCTTCACCTTCTCAAAGCAATCTGGCTCCAAACTTTGATTTAAATGAAGAACCAACTAAGGAAAATGTGTCTGTACATGAGGAGAATATGTATCGACCAAAACCAGTGTATGATGTTTTACCTGTGTAATGGTCTATGCCAATTAGCTTATGGGATTTCACACCTCAAGAATACACAGATACCCAACCATAAGAAAATGTACAAGAGCTAGAACCCCAAGCAGATAGGGATGCAATAAATGAGGATGTAGACACTCAAGAGGATGCAAGTCAACCAAAAAGACGAAGGAGATTTCTTTCTCGCATGTTACGTCCCTTTACACATCCTCTTAATAGATATAGTCTTTCATTAATAAAAAAGAAAAAGGGAAAAGGAGGATAGTAATTAAATTTAATAGTGATTTTAGTATCAGTGACAATGTCTATAATGTAATGTTATGATTTACTACATCTTATTATCAGTGGTGTTTGTTTGTAATGTAATGTTGTTATTAAGTTATTAGTAGTTTCTGCAATGTCAACAAAATCTTATTATTTTCAGTATGTGTTTACTAAATCTTATTCTAAATCATATTTGTAATGTAATGTTATTTATTAAATCTTATTATTGTCACTATGTGTTTAAATTTAAATATAAGTTACTAAAATGTGGCTGGTCACGTAATTATAAATTAACATAATCGAATAAGTTAAAAAATTACAAGATACCAATAATAATATATTAATATAAGAGAAACTTACGTTCATCACAATCAATAACATAACAAGCAAAGCATCAGTACTCCACACTATAAACCAGGGCCAGGAGCATTAGGACAACTGCTACGACTATGATTTTCGCCTCAACAAAGACTACAACGTCGTGGCCGCCTTATTTGTCGCTTGTCCATTTCGTTAAGAAAACGAATTAATGTTGGACGACCTTTTAAAGTATGCTTTAAGGCGGAGTTAGCACAAAGCTTTGATCCTTGATATTTGTGCCACTTCGATTCATTCCTAACAACCCCGAATTCCTTCTTGTAGACTTTGCACATTTCATTGATTGTATAGACTTCATTCACATAAGCACATTAGTCAATGTTTTGACTACAACAAGCAGCAATGACATGACAACATGAGATATCTATCAGTTTGGATGTTTCCACAATCACAATAATTTTGTCTTAGATGAACTCTATATTCCTAGTTATTGGATAAATCTTGAATATGAAAAGCCTCATTGCGTCAATCAAACTGAGTGACACGAAGGTTTCTTGAGCCATGCTCGTTTGATTGAAGACAACTTGTTATATTTTCTGAGAACAAATGTCTAGCATTCTTATATGCATAAGTCTCACTCCCTTTACGTGCAAACAATTGTGCTAATCAGAAGTATGTGACTCGAATAAGTGTTGTAATAGGTAAATTGTGGGCACCTTTCAATACATAATTAATGCATTCAACGAGATTTGTCATCATATGACCCCATCGATGTTTGCAATCAAATGCTAAAACCCATTTTTCTCATGGAATTTCATTAAGCCAGTCTATATAAATTTGTCCACGCTCTCATATTTGCTCATAATGAATATTAAATTCATGCTCAGTTTTTGAGTAACTTGTAAATAACAAATTCAAATATCATAAGGATAAACAATGTCATCTAAAAACAAGTACATTGTATTACTTTAAATAAAGGAAATGAGGTCAATTACCCATACGAATAACAAGTTTATGCAAGTTAGAAGCCTTGAATCTTCGCAAGAAATTTGCAGCAATGTGCCTGATACAATACATGTGGAATGCTCTTAGAGGTTCCTATTGGTTATTGCTTCTTCTTATTGTTGCTATAATTAATTCGAGACGATCAGAAATTATGCCAACACCATCTTTGGTAACAACTTATTTTCGTAAATTTTCTAGGAAAAAACTCCAACCATTTGCTGTCTCACCCTCAATAACAACAAATGCAATCGGCAATATATTCTGATTTTCATCTTGTGCAACAACCACTAGTAGAACCCCTTTGTATTTGTCATATAAATGAGTCCCATCAACCTATACAAGTGGCTTGCAATATTGAAATGCTCTAATGCAGGGACAAAACTCCAAAACACTCGTTGTAGTATTTGAACATTGGGAACCGTTTCATCATTGCGATAAGCCTCGGCAGCATCTAATTTCACAACAGATCCTCGAACAACATCACATATTGCTATGCACCATTGCGGCAAAGTTTTAAATAAAGCTTCCCATTAGCCAAATACTTTTGCAATTGCCTTTTGTTTTGCCAACCAAACTTTTAGATAACTTATCGTGTACCCAAACCGAGACTGGATTTCCCCAATCACTACTTTGACTTTAAAAGAAGGATCAAATTCTATTATTAGCTTTATACATTCTGCAATTGTGTTTGTATCTAACTTTCTGTGATCTTGAGAAATGATTCCAACGGTACAAGTGTGTGAACCATTATATTTTTAAATTTTTCATAAATACTCATTCTTCCTGAAACTAGCTCAAAAAAGTCACTTGCAATCTAAGTCATATCTTACACATTTGCAATAAAAAGTATTTGGTTATGACTCTAATACTTTGTAATCTACTCCTTTTGATATACTGTAAGGCTTTACTTTTTTATAACAACTTCTTTGTTACTAAATTACCTTCCAATATATAGTTCACCATCTATCTCTGTGTTACCTACCAATAGCAAACATAAACTAATTAACAAAACTAAAATTAATCTCATTAATATAATTACAAATTTTACGTATCTAAGTTTGCATACTCTAAAAACTCAGAAGTATTCATAACATCAGGATTTAATTCACACATGAAGGATGGCTCGCCAAAAGGTTGTTACCCATCCATATGGAGCTCCTCTTCATCAGCATCATCATCAAGATCCTCATCGCTTTTCTTATCACTTTGATAATCTCCTTTTCGTCGCTTTCCTCATCACTTTGATAATTTCCTTCAAAGTCATAGTCATCACTTTCACTGTTATTCTCTAATAGCATGACAAATTCTTCTTGAACTTCATTACTTTTGAAAACAACATACAACTCAATCGTATTACTTGGAGGATGACGTTGTTGATGTATCTGAGACATTTGTTGAACATCATCATCGTTGGTTATTGGAATCGAATAACATTGCATAAAACCGCCAAATATCGACACTGACATCTACATAACACTTTCCACTATTTTTGGAAACGAAACTTCATGAACATATTGACAAAGCCAACACTTTAAATCTTCAAATGATACATTATATTATAATATACACACAAGTTAGTTTCTTGCATGCAAATGACACACCTTCACTTATATTTGATATAATCTCACTATTAAAATAAATTACAACAAACACACTCATTTTTTCTTTTCATAAACACACAAGCTTCACACACACTCTTTAAGAACTTCAAATAGTTGTAGGGATAAATTGCAATGAACAAAGATTTTAGTATTTATAGCTCCACTAAATAAAAATCGCCAATGGCGTTTTATAACATTTTTTGAAAATTTACATTGGTCAAAGGTCACCATTGGCGAGTTTAAAAAGGTGAATGTCTTTTTGACAATATAAATCATCACTGGTAATTTTTACTAGTCATATTTACTTTTATGATAAAGTAAACTCGCCAATAGCGACGTTACTTTATCAAATTTTATTTCTTTGTGCTGTAAAATTGTCAATGACAAGTTTACTTTATCAAATTTTATTTTTTTATGCCTTAAAATCGCTATTGACATTTTTATATACATCATATTTATGTAATTTTGTAAAAAATGTCATATTTTTATAATTTTATTTTAGAAAAACCATAATGAAGAAAAGACCCTATTTTTTTGGCAAAGTATTTTACTTTTCTAAAGATATAGTTATGTTGTCATTCTAATTTCTCAACAATAACAAGATTTTAGTTTCATTTATTAGAGTAAAAGAATGTTGAGAAGAGAAAAATTAAATCTAACTAACTAAACAATCATTAACATTTTTATTTCAATCATTTTTTAGAAATATTTTTAATGTCTCTGTTATCTCAATCAATAAAAAAATGTATAAAAAAATAGTAAGATTCAAAATTTTATTCATATTTTATTATATTTTTTTAAGTCATTCACTTTTTCTCTTTCGTTAATCTTAACTATTTAAAATATAAATTAATAGTTAGAATTATCTCAGATAATTTAACTAAAAAAATATAAAATTTATAGACTCATCCTAATTCTACTTCACTCGCACTTGTGTATATAAATTTTAATAATAACTATAATAAATGTCTTATAAAATACCTTTTAATTTATACAACTCAATAAATTAATTTTATCGATTAAAGATAGAGTTAAAATATTTTTTATAACTTAAATTTTTTTTAGTTAATGCATGTTTAATTTCAAATTTATTTAGGTAAATCAATCGATATTTACTTTAATATTATTACTTATAAACCGAAACCAGACACCTATCCTACAAAGGCTGCAACGACGCCGTATACATGTTTCAGAACGGCGTCACGTTGGTGACTTTATCTTGTTCTGGTTGAGGGAACTGTAAACTGTGGAGCACTAGCAGAAATGGCTACTTCTTCTGCTCCATTGGCTCGCTTCTCTGTTATCTCGAGACCTTCCTCGCATCCACAATTCTTCAACTTCCCTCCTCCAACCGGAATCTCCCATTCCCGACCCGGCGCGCCCCGGTTCAGGTGTTCGGCCGGTCAGACCGGGTTCTTCACCAAACTGGGCCGGTTGATAAAGGAGAAGGCGAAGAGTGACGTGGATAAGATCTTCTCGGGTTTCTTAAAAACCCGCAACAACCTCGCCGTCATCGACGAGCTCCTCCTCTACTGGAACCTCTCCGACACCGACCGTGTCCTCGACGAACTCGAAGAGGTTCTGTTTTTCACTTCTAAACTGTTTTATTTTTTAAATTATTTATTTACTTATTTATTTATTTATTTTGCAGGCTCTTTTAGTGTCTGATTTTGGGCCGAGAATTACTATTAAGATAGTGGAGAGTTTGCGCGAAGATATATTGTCAGGGAAGCTTAAGTCAGGGAATGAGATAAAGGTATCATCAATTCAACGCATATATAATAGAAGAAAATCTTTTAAGTTTGAACTGTTATTCATTGGCAGTTCACCTAAATTGTAAATGGAATCCCTTTAAGGATTCAAGCTTAGGTTGTTGTAGTTTAGCATCTGCTTAGGAGTTTAGTAGTTGTGTGTAAGGCTTAGCTTATTTTGGAGGGAATATTTTTCCTTGCATTCTGAAAAGAGTTTTATAAAAAATAAAGTGATTCTAAACTAAAAAATGGCTGCAACAGACGTGTACTAAATTAAATAATGAAAATTTGGGTTTTGCTTGCGGTTGTCAATACTGATTAAAGAGCATTTAATATCTTAGAGGATAATCCGTTATTAAGTATTTCTAATTATTTGAAGGATGTATTATTGTTGTTGTTGTGTTGCTGAGGTATCTAACGCTTTACTTTTTATTTAATTTTTCTATTTTTTTTGTTTCAATAACCAGTTTGAAATTTTGGTTTGTTTCTCTCATGGAGTTTAGGAATGTCTGGTGTGCTTATTTATAGCTTGTGATTTTGGGTCTGAGAACGGTTTACTAATTAATTACTAAAACATTCCTTCCTTTGTTTTATCATGTTGCTTAATATGACAGGCAGTTTTCTAATTTTATGGTATAGAATGTGTTACTCTTTAATTTGAATGGCTGTAGGAAGCACTGAAGAGGAACGTTTTGGAATTGCTCACCTCCAAGGGGAGTAAAACTGAACTTCAACTTGGATTCAGGTGTGAGCACTTTTCTCTTTGGTCATTAAATTTTATTGTTCATTTTTGTGCTTTATCAATGGGGTAAATTTTGTTATCTTCAGGAAGCCAGCTGTAATAATGATCGTTGGTGTTAATGGTGGAGGGAAGACAACATCTTTGGGTAAGAAAAAGGCTTAAGGTGTTGATTCCATTCTTTCATGTGCAATGAAATAAAAAATTGAGACAGCATGTAGTTTTTTTCTCCTCCCTTTATGTTCCAGGAGAGGTATGTTTTCCTTAGTGTTAATGAAGAAGCTAAAATGGTATAAAGTTTTCATTGTGCAGTTGAGGATGGATTTTTTTTTTTTAATTATAAAGGTAACTATTACTCATGTATTATAAATTTTTAAATGGTATTATGTTACTTTCTGTAATCCTTTTTATATGGCACCTAGAAGATTTAAGTGGTCCTCAATGTAAGATATTTTATAATACCTATGAAGCATTTATTATTTTTGTTTCTATTTCTTAATAAACAGAGTTGGTAACCCTAAAACCAACTAGGTTAAATGTTGATAGTAGAATTACATCCATTTATATGTATTAAAGATAAAAATTGGCATGCTGTGATGCTTTTTAAAAAATTAAGATAATCAACTAACTTTAACTACTTTTATTGGTCTATGTAATTTAGTTAAGGATGCCTTATAAAAGGACTAGAGGGCATAATATTTAAATGAAGCCCTTCTTCCCTCCTCCAATAAGCAATGAAATTGTTTTTAACAGTTTAGGTAACCAAAACCATGCCAATTTGATCAGCTTTTACTTGCAGGAAAGCTGGCCTATAGATTGAAGAATGAAGGGGCTAAGGTTAGATGACATTATCTGAGTGTTGCTTTGGTTCATGATATTAATCTCCAACTAAAAGTTTGTTGGACAAGATGAAGTCCCTTTTAACTGAAGCTTCAATTGGTGTAGAGAACTAGACAGTTAAACCTGCTGGATTGCCCTTCTCTGAATTTTAAGGGCTTGTGCCACAATATTGTTGGGGTATCAATGAGCAATGTTTGGGTATTCAGTTAAATACCACAACGAATGACTTCCATTTGATCAGGCACCTTTTAGCTTCTCTTTGATGTTCATCCCACTATTCACCATTGTCTTAAGGGTGTTTCCACCTCTAGCTTGCTTTGAGATTAGCGCATCCTGCTTAAATTTCTCCTCTTTATGTTTTTTTTTTTTTTTTTTTTTTTCGCTTAGAGGATATCTTGCCTATATTCAGAACATCTATTCTTTTTTATAAATTTATGAGTAAAACTTTTCTTTGGATCCTTGAAAGATGCTGTGTATCTCAAATAAGAATAATGGATCAAATGAAAGAGAATGTCACTGGAAGGGGAAGAGGAAGACATGAGAAAATATGAGGTGAAGCAATTAAAAAAAAAACTGTGCTCTAAATTATTTCACTGAAATATTGGTCTTTGACAGAGACAAATGGCATCAATTGATCCATGTAGTTGACCCTATCTGATCCCATGGGATAATGCGTGGTTGTTGTTGTATTGTTGTTGTCATACTTCCAAAGTTCCTAGTTTAAGCGCTTGAAGGTTATGATTTGTCTGTATTTAGCTCACTCCTGTGTAGTTTGATATTTTCAAATATGTGAAATTGTGTATGTGTGGTGCATGAAACTATTTGAAGTATGAGCTTACGATGCTCAATCCATGAGCTCCAAGATCACAAGGCAGCAACTTTACCATTGGGCCAAGCCTTGCCCTTTTTTGTTTCAGAGAAGAGATAAAATTATTTTGTCTCCAGTTTCTTAAGTTAGAAAATGTTGTTTCTGTATTGGATGCCACTCCTATGTAACTCCTAAAATTTTACAATCAAGTTTGGTTTCGAGTAAAAGGATTTGAAGGATTTTGTTATTGTTGGGTTTGAGTGTTAATATCTATAGTCATATGACTCATATCATATTATCTTCTGTCCATGGTAGGAGCTGAAATTTCCTGCTGGTCTTGTGTTCTGTTTTTAAAATTTTTACCAGATATTGATGGCAGCTGGTGATACATTTAGAGCAGCTGCTAGTGATCAGTTGGAAATATGGGCTGAAAGGACTGGGTGTGAGATTGTTGTGGCTGAATCTGACAAAGCAAAAGCATCATCAGGTAAAAATGGAATTATATTTTACTTTGGGCTCTGCTGTTCATCACTTTTAAATTTTATAGGATCTTTAATTGGATAACTTATTGTGGATACTAAATTTTATACCTCCTATATTACTTGCAGTGCTTTCACAGGCTGCAAAAAAGGGAAAAGAGCTTGGTTTTGATATTGTATTATGTGATACATCTGGGCGTAAGTACAGAAATTTTACACTAGCAGTTTTGTATTTTAATGATTACCTGGATATATTAGCATTGGGGTTCATGTTACCTTCTCAGGTTTACACACTAATTACAGCCTAATGGAAGAGTTGATTTCTTGTAAAAAGGCTGTCGGTAAAGTCATTTCTGGCGCACCTAATGTAAGCTCAAGTTCTTGTCACTTTTTCCTCTCAACTGAATCATCTTGTAGCTGGTAAATCTCTAGGAATTGATGAGTACTAGATCATGCCTTGCCTTTTTTTTGTATTTGCTGCCTGTTAAATGGTTTTAAAAAGTTTTATTGTTCTTTTCTTCCTGTTTGGTTTTCTGACAAATTTTTTTGGAGTAAGGTTTTAGACTTCTTGGTGAAATTTGAAGATGTCAATTGATCTACCTTGTGCTCCGTTAACATTTTCTGTTCTTCAAATGAAGTTGGAAAAATGTGATTAAACTTGACATAAGCTAACACCTCTATAATTTTTTACTTCTTTGTTACCTGATCATAGCTTTTCGTGTCTCATGAATTTTTCAGTGAGGGCTTGTATGGTCATAGAAATAAGAGAATCTGCTTGCAGCATAACCATTGTTAGAGAAAACTAGAAAAAGCAGTACAACTCTTTTAGAAATGTTTTCAAAATATGAAAGGGGTGGTGATGGGTTTCTTAGTATTTTGACGTTTTGGTCCACATGTGCATAGGGGATAGTAATGTTTGCCTTTTATTTTTCCATTGTTCAGGTCATTTCCTATTCTTAATGTCCAAGGAAATTTATATTATATTTTATATTATCTCTTTGCAGTCTATGAGCTAATGAATTTTTTAGTAACCTGACAGAAATTTATTGAGTTTCCATTAACTAAACTGCATCTATGTCATTTGTTTCCTTCACTTTAGAGTTTAGACATCTTGATGGTGACAGCATTCAAGCTGTTGCAGCAATTTTTAGTACAACAAATTGGACTATCTTCTGTAGATGAAATTGTGAATTATCATCATCATCATCTTGCTGTAGTATCCTTTTTTGTATATTTTAATATAATTATTGAGTATTTGTTAGAAGTTGTAATTAGTGATTTATCCTTAGTTCTCTTTGTAGTTTAAAAAATCTTGTTGATGCATGTGAAGTGTGTGAATTGTGAAAGAAAAATGTTTTTCCCCAAACATGTTTTCCATTTCCTTCTGTCTGTCTGACTCTCTCTCTCTCTCAGACACACACATACACACACACATTCTATAACATAAAATGAGGGTGCTGACAATGCTTGCAGGAGATCCTACTGGTTCTGGATGGGACTACTGGTTTGAATATGTTGCCACAGGCGAGGGAATTCAATGATGTAAATGCCATTTCTGTTTTTAAAATTTTATATTTTTCTTATTCAGTGTGGTAAAGTTGTTATTCTACTTTCTTGAATCTATGCTATCACTATATGAGAATGCCAAGTGGCATTCATATTGCTTCTTTGAGATGGTATTGAATCTTTAAAGCTAAAGATTGCATTTCAATATTATAATTGAGACAGAAAGTGGGAAGAGATGGTAAATATCAAATCTTGCAATAGTAGTAAAGGACTTATGATTTCAATGTACCAAGATTTACATTTATAAAATTTCTTTGTTAGTTTGACATAATTATTTGATGCATATGGGGGAAACATGTATGCAGTAATGGAGTTGATCTTCTTAATTTACTTCCAAATGCCAATTTCTTGCTTATTTTTCTCCTCTAAGGAATATAATAAGTAATATCAATACTAAGATATTCTGTGGCCCTTCCTCTGTAATGTTTTACTGTGCTGGCAAAATCAAGATCAGAATTTAAACATGAAATTCTGATGTTCAAAAGTGAGCAATTCAATCTGGAAAGAAAAGATAATAACAAAGCATAATACATATGTTGTAGTTTTCTGGTATGGTGATGCCATGAGTTTCTCACTTTCGTAGTCTTTTTATCCATTGCTTTGCTGATTTTAGCTATTCAGTATTTGGTATTATGGTTGCCTCAAGGTTCCATATTAACTTGCTGTCAGCTGTTATTGAAATTGTCAACTCTGAAACCTTTGAACTTGAAACAGGTTGTGGGTGTTACTGGTTTAATTTTGACCAAACTGGATGGTTCTGCTAGAGGTGGCTGTGTGGTATTCTCTTATTTTTGTTTATCTTAATGGATATTTTATAGCTTGTTGGGCTAAATAAATTTTCATTATAGGCAATATATTTTGTCAAGATGATCATGATAAGGAATAATATAGTAATTTATGTTGGCAGGTCAGTGTGGTTGATGAACTTGGAATCCCTGTGAAATTTGTGGGTGTTGGTGAAGGTGTTGAAGACCTTCAACCCTTTGATGCGGAGGCCTTTGTCAATGCCATCTTTATGTAAACCAATATTATGGGTTTGGTATGTACCTCATGGCATGCCCTTTCGATTCCTTTCAAAATTGAGTTTGAAATGAAATTGCAGTTGAGTGCCACCCATAAAATCCTCCCCCATCACCCATCCTTCTCTTTCATTAGTTATTATTTTTTATAATTATATCTTGAAAGACATGATCATCTTATCCTCTATTTGAATTTACCTGCCAGACATACTTCTCTCAAGGGAATTTTGCAATTTGACTACTCATCTAGACTGGTTATTCTTGTTTTGCATCATTAGACATGGCTGTTGCTTTTAGATGTCGTGCATAATGTCATAATTAAATTTAGAATATCTCCACTTGGCACTTGGGTTATAGGGACAGGGTAAGCTTGGAGTTTGAGGTCTTCGTTTCAAATTTGGTATAAAAAACCCAAAAATTGGAAAGTGGATTTCTACTTTTTGGGTCTTGCTAACCAGAAGGGCACTGATTATTGAATAATAATAATAATAAAATTTTATTAAAATTACGTTCATATACATTGAAAATTATGATGAAGGTACATTGTTCCTTAATTGTTGCACATTACTCTACTTTCATCTTTTTTGACAGCGCTGTGTTTGTTACAGTTCAGAATGGTTTATTAGCAGAGCAGCATGACATGAGTATGCAGAGCAAGACTACCATGTCACGGGAAAGATGGCATTTTGTTATGGAAGCCGTTCTTGGGAGAGGCTAAGCATTGGGAAAGCGTGTAGATGATTTTGGTTTGGGAGAGGCCAAGCATTGGGAAAGCGTGTAGATGATTTTGGGGTGCAGGGCTGTTGTTGCTTTCGAGGCATGCTTAGTGTATATAATCCTTTCACATGATCCATGGCTGGTAGTTTCTGACAATGCAAATGAGAGATGGAGTTTGTTTATATTCGCTCCTGTTTGTGAACTGAAAGGCTTTTATTGTGGTCATGTGGTGTGCGTGTAAATGATACTAGGAAAATGTCAACACATGCTATTCTGTATGTAAACATCTTATTAATGATGATACTTTCTTTTCTTTTCATTTCTTCGACTTCTGAAGTAGTTTCCTATTTCATTGATTACATATATATTGGTAAGCCAAGATGTGCTTTATAGGCTGATGGAAGGATTTCCAAGTGAGATCTCTAGAATGGGGGGAGAGAGAGGAAATTGAGACTAGGGATGATATTTAAACATGGGATGACTCTTTCACTTTAATAAAACTCAAATTACTGAATGTATATATCATTTGTGCACAGAAAGCTACAATATTTATGAAAGGAAATTTAAACTCTTCCAACAATTTGTTCTAATTATACTCTTCCCCTTTTGTCATAATTCTAACGTGGATATGGAAGACATACCGCCTACTTAGGAGAAGAATTGATCAGAAGAGGCGGGGCAAGCTTTGGGGTCTCCGTGGGTGCAGGGTAAGAAGATTGGAATAGTGAAAGCACTTACTCTTAAACCATTGCAAAAACAACCCAACTGGAAACTCAACTGTATTTGTAAGCACCCAACTACTTGAAATAACAGTCTTTGATCCTCTTTGATCTTTCTGACCTATTTCTCTAAACGATTCGCTCTTGTTGTGTATTGACTTTTAACAAGAGTTTTACTGTGTATTATTAGCAAGGTTTTTAGGAGATGGTGGAGCTTGATGAGTTCCTACTTAAGCTTCATTTTTCTGGGAGGAAAAAAGATCCCATTGATCCTAACTTGCACTTTACTTCTCTGTGCTACCTACCAAGAATTCAGAGTGCTTTTTGTGCTGAAAAATTTGTTTTCTCTGCTGTGACGACTCAAATAGAATAAATTTGAAGTTGGATTGAGAAATCAATCTTCTTACTAGTTTTACTTGAGAAGAAGCTTCCCTAAATAAAGTGAGTAGAATCCTCGTTTATTAATTCCTTGTGTATTTGAATGTTCTTAAAAGTGTTGATATCATATGGCCATTAAATACTAAATGAATTTTTTATGATATGAAATGATTGACATGGGATCAAATTTCAAAATTATTAACATGTAAAACTGAAAATTGCGGTCACTAGTCTTTCATTTCGCAACGATTGTTCTATCTTTTCCCGTGATTCAAGTTCGAAACCAAAGTGCAAAAAAGGAAAAGAAAAACTAAAGGTCGCACTTATATGGCAATCACAATGATTGATGTGTTCACTAAAGCACAATATATAACCTATTCTTTTCCAATATATACATGGTTACTACAAACAATGTGATAGGTAAGTGTTGAAAATCAACCGCAATTATCCCCCTAATTCAGTAAAAATAGTTTCATGAATCATAAACTTTGGAAAGACAATAATTCAAGGTTATTACATTTTGTTTTTGACTATTTGATGTATAAGAAATTATCAACATAATGGATATGGAAAAAGGCATAATAATACAGCATTCTAAATCTACTCATAAGGAATCGCCTAATTTGAAGAATTTTGTTACATAAAATGGAACTGCAGAACCAAGTCCATCAAAAAGCTCAATGTTCATAAACTGGCGACTGGCATGTTATATAAGGTAGCATGAGTAATATAGAGCAAATTGCCAGTTTTCTTCATTTTGAACTCAATTGTAACCACAGTTAAATTTCTTCCAGTCTTTACCACAGAGGCATTAGCTAGCACTTCTTCCTGGATAAAGTGTAAAATCCAATTATTGAAGGATATAAGCATGAGGAAAACATATGAATATGAAAATGGCATATTAGATAGCAAAATTGGCAACAGTGGCATCACTTAAACATTTCTTCCAAGCAGCAAAACAAGTTAAGGATTTGAATACTGTGAGGTGAAAAGTGCAAAGGGTAACTACTACAGAAAATAATCAAGGGATTAATTAATAAAAAATGCATTACGCAGAGTTTGTTATTGCCGTGCTATTTTTTTAATCAAAATCAAAATTTGATTTTTTATTCAATGGTTATTGATAGTTTGTTTTACACTAAGTCTAAACTCTACTGCACTTTATAGGCTCTTCATCCAGAAATCATACCTCACTCTAGTGCATTTCTGGAAAGCCTCACCATGAGATATAATATTCATCTAGTATTAGCAAATGCCAATGCAACTCACCAACATTACATATTGAGAGACTATGAAACTATTCCCATTCCCATTAATTATGTACCACAGTACCAGGAGTGGGGTCTACAAAATGCCTTTTCAGTTCTTGGAGATCATAATCGTTCTTGAATAAACTGTACTTGTGAGGTTTTATTTTTCAAGTGTTTAGAGTTCAGAGAAAGAGGAATACTAGAAATTATAGATTCACAAATCAGTCCTTGATGACCTCAGTCATCCTACTAAAATACTGGAGTGTAGGCATGTTTATCTTTGCAGTATAGTCAGTGAGGTCCTAATCACACTGATCCAAAGCATTAGACTAAGGGAATACTAAGAAACTCTGCAACTGAAGTTGAATGATGCTAAGCAACACTAAGTGGCTTGCTTTCTAACTTCGTCACCTTTCTAGCGTATTACATTTCCTCATGCAGCACTGAATAAACCATTCTAAAAAGTTGAACTCCACCACTTATCTAGCATCTATTTATTTGAAGAAAAAAACTTAGTATTGCAATAGAAAACAACAGAAAGAATCACAACTGAATGCAAAGAACTCACATTTTCTGGAGTGCCAGAGAGGTAAGAAATGCTCACTTCCCCAAGAAAAAGTTCCTTGTCTTCAGCAACTACAGTTCTTGCACAAGCTGTAGCAAGAACCTCAACCAAGGTTGCAACAGCCCCTCCATGGAGTGTTCCATAGCCATTCTGTAATTCCAATCAAGAAAATGGAAAAAAAAGTCCATACACATATAACTTTGAACCCAGAAAGATGAATTAAGTAGCTAACAAAGAAACTCAGAAACTTTAATGTTGAAACCAAAATCACAGCCCTTCAACAGCGTAAGCCTCAAACAACAAAAATTATGCTTGAACACTATATAAGCAAACAATTTTTCTAATGTGTGTTGAAGGGCACATGTTAAGAAACTTTAAATATAATTTATTATAGACTTTAAATTACCATAAAAGATATGCATTTTATGAATTAGAGTTCATGAATATTTTCATTCTTAACAAAATTTTCTATTTTTAACTTCTTAACATATGCTCTGGACTCACGTTAGAAAAACCAATGAAAAAAAAGCAAAAATTCCATACAATTATCAAGGAATTCATCAGTAACTTCAATTGACCAATCAACAAAACATTTCAAAAACATAGATTGATCTTCCCAATTTCCTGAGCTAATAAACAGAAAATCCAGACCAAAAACACCCTTTTTTAATTTTTTTTTTATTTTGTACAGAGAGAGAGAGAATCGGATAACAGGAGATTTCTAATTTAAATCTCAAAATTCAACAGAAATTGTCGGTGGATATTGAACAAAGCCCATTTAAATATAATTACAAGCCCCTTCCCCAAATCCCCCATTTCCCATCTTTCACTAACTTAACCATGGCATGGCTACAATGTTAAACATGACAAAAGGAAAAGGGAAGACAGCAAAACCAGCAACACCACATCAAACTAATCATTAAATTACCAATACTTATCAATTTAATTCCTAAATTATTCCTAAAAAAACAAAAATCCCTCAAATTAATCATTAAACTAACAAACACCAATCAATCAAACCCCTAAAATTATAAAAATCACGTTTTAGAATTAAAAAAAATACTCAATCACAATCATTTTAATGTTTAACAGCACACCCCTAAAATTATTAAAATAACCTCTAACATTTCAAAATGAAAACAATAGTTTTAAAATATTAAAAAATAAACTAATCAACACTCATAATTTATCCAACACCAATTTAATGCATGATTAGAAACAAAAAGGGAGGTTGACACTTACACAGATCGGTGGTTTTGCGACAATAGAACAAGAGATTCGTCCACGTTGGATGAGATGGACTTTGATGAAACTCCGAATGAAACCATTGAAGAAAGCGTGCGTGTTGCACGTGTGGGGGACGGGGATAGCAGCGCCCATAACGTCGACGAATTGCAAGGTTTCAGAAGCATGTCGAGGTTCGACATCCTTCGAGATTATGAGCGATGCTGAGCCACACACACTTTTTGGTTTCGCTTCCATGGTTGACTCGTTTTTATGCCTTCTTCCGCCCTCTCTCGCCACACCCACCACCGTTACTCAATACATTATTTTATTCTTTTAAGGTAATAGAATAAATACGTGACCAATTAAAATTACTTATTAAATTAACAGTCAATTTTGTTTTACCTCTTACCATGTAGAAATTTTAAACTGATAATTATAATTATTTTAATATTTTAAAAATTAAAATTATTTATTATAATATAATATTATTTCGAATTTTTATATTTTTTTTAGATTGCAATATTTTTAAAAGAATCATTTTAAAAATATTTAATAGAATTTTATTAACATAATATTTTACTAATTATAAAAAATATATTTCTAGTTCTTATTTTATGAAAAGTGAATATTAAGAACAAGTGTTATAAGTTATGTTTTAGTTTTATTTTTTTTATTTTATGAGAAGTTGATAATAAGAAGAAGAAATTGAAAATTGAAAATTTTTGTCTTGATAAAGTTCAATACAATAACAAAATAATTTGCATATAAACATCCACCAAAAAGCAAAATATGTATAAATTGGAAATGGGCATGTTATAGAAGGTAGCATGAGTAAATTCCCAGTTTTCTTCAGTTTAAACTCAAGTGCAACTGCAGTCAAATTTCTTCCAGTTTTCACCACTGAGGCATTAGCCAGCACTTCTACTTGCATACACATAATTAGAGTTAGATGCCATAAAAATGTTAAATTAGAGTTAGACACAACAGTGACATCATTTCACATTTCTCCAAGCTGTAAACAAAATTATGGATCTGGATATTACAAAGATCCTAACTAACACTATTTATAATGCTAATATTTCAAACATCTCAATCACATAGCTTGAAGTTAAAGTGGTTTTTAACATCCTCTACTTTGCTCTGCTGTTTGAAATGACCATGCTAAAGGATTGAATGCCATTTGGTTTATCTAACATCTACTGTTTCAAAGAAAAAGAAAAGCAGAATTGCAATAGTAAACAGTGGAAAGAATAAAAACTTAATTATAATTTGATAATATCATATATGATTATTAGAGATATTTTTTTTTATGTTAAATAAGGATCTATCTCAATTGGTTGATAAGCTTCCCTTATTAAATTAATAAAAAATGTCCTTCTCTCTAATATAACTATACCATGTTATAAGATTATCTAAAATCAATAGAAAGAAGTTAAAGAACCCACATTCATTGGAGGGCTGGAGAGGTAAGAAATGTTAATTTCCCAAAGAAAAAGTTTGTTGTTGTGAATTCAATTTTGTTCAAATAAAAATAAAATGGATGGGATAATTCCAGCCACAACAGAAAAATATATATCTAGACCAAAAGTCCTTTCATGTAGTATTTCAAAAGCTATTCTACAATTTCAATAAAGATAATGTAAGCAAATATACAATCCATAACATTTTGTTTTTTTTATTTATTTCCCTACATTTTTTTTTGGATTAATTTTTAACTTTGAACCAAGAAATAAATTCAGTTCCTAAATCCTAAGAATGAAACATAATTTAATTAGTAACATTAAAAGCTGATTATACTCGATTACTCAAATTGTTAATTTTAATTTGAGTAAAGTTGAGCTGGTTAGGTTAACGAGGTTATACGACTCCCCAACACACCCATGACGTTGATCTTAATCAGAAAATTATGTCATATTGATTACGATGATCATCAATGATATCATATTTGTTTCATGAGAAAAAAGGAAAAAGAAAAAGAAAGCAACAAAATAAGAAGCTAGCTTAATTGAGTGATCGACAAAGAATATAGGAATCATGCATATAGCTTTTGTCAAGTGGAAGAACTGGATCCATTGGAGGACAAATCTATTAATTAAGGATAGAAAATAAATTAATACATCTTAAATATATCATATGTTTTTTGTAATTAGGATAAAAGAAAATACTCAAATTTGTTTTTTATAGAAAGGAATGGAGGGAGTATTAAATTATAAAAAATAATATAAAAGAATTAAATTACATGTTAATTATTGATGGCTACTCGACACTGGAAGTTTCCAAATGGGTGCACTGGCTTTTATTATTTCCTGTAACGTGACTCTTTAAGAAGAAGACGCATGCTATAGATAAACCATATTTTTCTTCATTCTTCATTCTTCATTCTTGATGATGTAACAATTTCATGCTTAGCACTTTTGGATTCTGATGCTTTTAACGTAGCCAATTTTGCCATTAGCATCTTGGAAAGAAGCATTATGGTGGATGGAATGAATCAATCAAGATTACCATCATTGTGAGTGGAAGGATACCATAATTGACACCTTCATCTTCTTGGGTCGCAGAGTTGTCTTTTCAAAAGATATATCTATGGTTACCAAAGTTAGAACGATATCAATACAACTGTCTCATATTGCTTACTATAGTTTGGGTAAGGATCTATATATACTCTCAATGTTATGTGAGTTTGTTTGGATAGAATTTGTGGTGTGAGCATGAATGTATGTTATAGAATGATAAACTTGATTTTACTATTCAAATTACTAAATGAATGTGGATATTCTAGAATTTAAATATATGAATTATTAATATCATTATTATAGTTCATAATTGTACAACTTAAATCTTTGTCGATTTTTACTCCTCTCATTTTTTATAGAATTTTATTAACCATTCAAAAATGATTTTTTTCTATGAAAATAGTACATATATATTTATTATATTAAAATTTTATTATTATTAGTTATTTATCTTTAATGCAAGTTTAATAAAATTCTTTTTTCTATTACATAAATACTCAATAATTAAGGTTGCTGCATATATAATTTTGTATTCATATACTTTTTCCCCACAGACCATAAGCCATATTTCATTGTTTTTAAATCCACCTTCATATACTCATTCCTCCTGCATTGCATGTAGACCCGTGAGTTGTCAAAGCACATGCTGCATCAAATATGAGATTAATATAGGAAGGTGGCTTGTCATTGTAAATCAACTTAAATTGAAAAGTTGATTTTTATTTTAAAAATAATGATTGAAATATATGAGCATCAAATATGTCACTACATTTATATGGGGTGATAGAATCAAAGTGTATATATGTTAAAAATAATGCATTCTGTTATGATATGATGGTAAAAATTATACAAATATAAACTCTAGTTCATATAAGAGTGTGTGGATAGCAATACTAGTATTCTTATTTGAAAATGTAAATGTACATTTTTTTCACTCTGAAATTAAATTTTAATTTTGATACACTGTTAATCTTTGTTTCCTTATTTTAGTCTATTCAGCTTGATCTGAATTAATTGAAGTTGAATGAAACTTTCAAATCAGTCTAAAAATTAAAATCTTGAAATTTTTTTATTGAATTAGGTTTGAGTTCACAAAATATCTAAAAGAAAATTTATCCTCACAAAGGCATTATTATTGAATTCCTCACAAATTACTATCAAATTTATTCATCAACTGATGTGAAATTGTTCCAATTTAATATCTGGTCTCAAGTTGTAGTCTTAAGAAATATAAAAAGAAGTTCTATCACTAATAATAGTTTTACTTGACTTGAATAGAATTGACTCATGTGAAAGATACCTCCAGTCTAAACTAAAAAATTACTCACATAATGAAGGTTGTTAGATAAATTTTGGTTAGCCTATAATTTATTTTATCAAAATAAGTTCACAACCTTTTTAATGGTCTACCTAATTTAATCAAAGTGTATATACAGTCTCAACTTTGTAATAATAATAAAAAAAAGAACTTGTAAAAGGACTCAAACATTAAAAAGGAAAAAGTTGGATCTAAGCAAAATCCAGCTACAAGTAGTAGTGCACTGGTTAAGGCATTTCTGGTACAGTGATTTCCACCTTTATTTCAGCTCTAAGACAGCGTAGATTATTAGAGAGAAGCATCCTCAGTGGAGTCAAATAGTCTTGTGCACATATAATTTGTGAAGTGTGTGTCCAAACTCAAAAGGCAAAGATGCCTCGTGGAACTCTTGAAGTTGTTCTGATCAGTGCCAAGGGCCTCGATGACAATGATTTTCTCTGTAAGCACTATATTCTATGTATAGCTGATAAGAAAATCAGATACTGTATATGTCAATGATTTTGTCCCATAGAAATTCAGCATGGAACTGTGGATCATAAAACTTGATCTAGATCTTTGTGGTTTTAATTGACTTTATTTTATTTGCAAATTAAACAACAAAAAGTTCATCTTATTTGAAAATTGAACATGGGAATCAATTTAATTGATCTTTTTTTTTTATTGAATCTGGTTAAAGGAATTGCAATTAAGAGGTTATAATGATCATAAGATGTTGTGTGCCAATTGAACTAATCAAATTGATCAAGGTAGATCATTCTCTGAAGTCTTGGTTTTGTTCTCACTGAGTAGCCAGCGTAGATCCTTATGTGATCCTCACATACCGGACACAGGAGCACAAGAGCACTGTGCAAGAAGGTGCATTTCTGGCAAAACTTTATTATATTTTTGCTTATTTATATACCCTTTTATCTCCTGTGGCTTGATTCTGTGTTATGAATACTAGATGGTGGATCCAACCCACAGTGGAATGAGAGCTTTCTTTTCACTGTCTCAGACAGCGAGACTGAACTTAATCTAAGGATAATGGATAAAGACAAGTTTAGTCAAGATGATTCTCTTGGCGATGCAACGTGAGTTTAATTCTTCTTTAGCTTTTCACATTTTGTTTGGACTGGCTTTGCCTTCTTTTGTTTTTCCTATGAAATTTCATTCATGATTGAATTCAAAAGAAGAGAGTAATATAGTCTAAATTCAGAATTTTCGATTGACAAAGATATATATTGCAATTTTTTTTTTCAATTTGATACTGGCCTAGTATAAGAAGAAAAAAAAGAAGATAAAACAACTAAATATTTTTTTGTAAGTTAAAATTCACTTATAATCTTCTACTCTTCAAAAGCTTTCTCAATTAATTTAATGCAGCAGTATTTAATGTTGGGAAGTTCTAACTCTCGAACATGATTTATTCTAGTGAAAGTTACATATGGTCTAGAAAAAAAAGATTTCTCAATTAATTTCACAAAAACATGAAATGCAAAAGTTGTTCATAAGAATGATTTTATTTGTTTTATTTCCTTATTTTCTTTCCCTCTAAGTACGGTTGCAGAAGTTTACCAATAATATGCCATGAGTAATTGTTACTGATACAAAAGGGTTCTGAAAAAAAATGCACTTGCACTTTTGATTTCATTTTTATCTGCAGAATTCATTTAGATGCAGTGTTTGAAAATGGTAGCCTTCCAGAAACTGTTTACCAGGTTGTGAAAGGCGAAGATTATTGTGGAGAGATTAAGGTGGCTCTCACTTTTACTGCTGAGGTAATGCTGGAATATATATTTCTATTATTTTTTTTCCATGCTTTAATGCCTGGCTTTTTTCTCCTATTCAAATATACCATTATATCCTGGTTGCAGAAAAATGTTGATCAGGGGGAATACACTGAACAGAACGAGGGCTATGGTGGATGGAAAGAATCCAGAGAAGAATTTTAAAGTGAAGGAAGGATTTTACATATTTCCCTGGCCCGGAATTATTTTTAGAATGGAAAATAAGCAGTTTTGGGTCACTTTTTGGGAAATTCAATTAGTGTGTTTATGTTTTCTGTGTGAAGATCTGATGGTGTTGTGTTGTTAGCTTACATTATGCTAAATAAACTTCGTTATGCTACATATTATCTTTTATGCATTTCACATTTTATTTAAGAGCAGAGTTGTTTTATTTGCGGGAAGCTGGTTTTCAATAATAGAAGAAAATTTTCTAATATAAGTTTTAGATAGAGAGAAAAAATTTGAGTAACCATAGTCCCACAATTATTTTGTAATTTGAGTGAACATCAAGAAGTTGGATTAGCAAATCAATGTTTAAAATTGTAATTTAATACATGTACATTATAGCAAGTTATCTTAATCAACATTTATGATTATAATTTATTTTTTAAAGTTCACTCTCCTCACTTTAAAACGCTGAATTCTGCTAATAGTTGTGATTGTCTTAACGAAGTGCTCAATAAAGTGGCAACAATAACATAGGATTTTATGGCTGGAAAAAAGAAATTCTATCCTTTTATTGTGTTCTTTCTCCAATAATAATAATAATAATAAACTAACAAGAATACCATAACTCCTAGTCCTTTCAATAATTCAATGCTTTCAAAATATGAATGAAAGGAGTACTAAATTGAAAATTTCCAAGCAATGTATTATGAAGCTTCACAAAAAGATGCTTTTAGTATTCGAAACAATGATCCTCCATATATTTAGGTCTATATATTTTATACAATTTGAACAGCATGTGAAGTTGTTAACTCTGCTCATAAGATCCAAAATTTACCATACAAGTTACTTAAAAATCTTCCCAATTACGTTTCCTCACCCAAAGTCAAAGCTGAAAAGTAATGGTTAAGGATATGGAGAATGTCTAGAAATCAAAGAAACATGGTGGATCTGTTTTCTATGCTATGGTGAAAGCAATTGAAATGATAGACTCATTTACTCAAACAATGTCACCAAAGATAAGTTTATATTATGCTATGGCCATCTCATAACCATACGAGGTAAGAACAATGTCAATTTCAAGGGCGCACGAAATACAAGATGCAAATACATTTGGGAAGATGCAAGATGTACATTAACAAATTACCCAAAAACTACTTTCACATCACACTTCAGAATATTCATGTGTCAAAATGATTATAGAGGAAAAAAGGTAGGAAAAATAAATTCTTCCCATTTGAATAATGTCATAATAGCATCATCTTTTAATAAACACAAACCTTTTTCAGCCTAGAAAAGTTATATTTACTCGTAGTCAATGGCATCCAAATCTTAAGACAACCAGTGGTATAAGATCACCAGAAGTAAACTTTCTAACACAAACAAAATCAAAGACTGATAACATTAAATTGTCAATGTAAATTACATCACAAACCAGATCTCAGAAAGATGAGAGTAACAGAAATTCAGAGTTCTTTTCAAAGTCATAGATAATTCAGTATTTAATCCTCTAAACCAAACTAATAAGTTACTGGGTGAATTCAATATCAAAATAAACTTAGCAACCATCCATGAGATAGTGTAAAAGTAAACTGAAAAACTTAGTCATGACAATAACACACACTTGAAGATTCAAATGCCCAAGATCTTTTCTCTCTCTATAACTTATCCATTTAAAATATATTATATTTTAAAGATTCATCTTTTAAAAACTAATGTCCAACTAATTGACTTTGATTACTTAAATATAAAATATCGTGATTATTAACTTTTTATAATTAGATAGATTAATTAAATTTATACATGATTAAATTAAATAATCACTAAATAAAAAATTGAGTTAATATTTTTAGATTTGATTACTATTTTTAAATGAAAAAATAAATCATGTATACCGTATATAATTTATTATTATTTTTAAAAAATAAATTATATATATTTACGGATTATGTTATATATATATATAAAAAAAAAATATGAAAGTAAAATTTAAGACTGATCGATAATTTATGAAAAGTAGTTTATGATTTTTATAATTTTTTTAGTTTATTTCACTAAATTAATAAAATTCATATAAAAAATTATTAATTAAAACTTAAATAAGATGCACACCGTTATACTCTCTGGCCAATGTTTTCTTTCAATGCTATTACACTACCAAACATTGTTAGAGACATGGAAATAACAAGAAGGAAATCTTCATACGTACAACGGTGCAATTAAGATACAACGACAAAGGCATCAAACTCAGCCACGAAGCCCAGAGAGAGAGAGAGAGAGAGATGAGTAAGAAGAAGAAGGTTCTTGTGGTGGGAGGCAGTGGTTACTTGGGTCAGCATCTGCTACAAGCATATTCCAATGCCAATGAAACTCCTTTTACTTTCGATCTCGCTTGCACTCACCACTCCACTCCTCCACAACCATTATTCGATGCCATTCCTTCTGCCCTTTCTTTCCAAGTTGATTTGAAAACCGGCCTTGGATTTGAATCCGTTTTCAACACTTTTGGTCAGGTTCTATTCTCACCTCCTCCTACCTTTAATTTACTTTTGTTGATGATTTCTATTCCACTCAATTGGATCAAGGGGAAAAAAAACCATTTTCATTAATGGGTCATTTTCTGAACTTCTTATTTATTACAATTTAGCTGCTAACACCTTGTATATTAGTGCATCTTACGTGGATGAATCTTCAAAATCATCTTAAATGGATTTAGATTACAATTATGCAGGTGGGTTTAGTCAATGAAGATAGCCATGATCTCTTCTTGTCTGACACTGAGGATATGTGTGGTTTAGGGTGCATTTGGATATATAACTTAAACGCTTATTTTATATGACGACTTGTGTTATAAATTTAACTATGAAATTTATTGAAAAAAAGCTGAAAACGACTTATTTTGATGGGCTATACCAAGTGTATAAAACGAGATTGTGACTTATTCATTATTGAACTCACAATTCTGTTTATTTGTTAATGGCAGCCTGATGTGGTTGTCAATTGTGCTGCCATCTCCGTGCCTCGTGCTTGTGAAATTGATCCTGCTACTGCACATGCTGTTAATGTGCCATCATCTCTTGTAAAATGGTTGCAAAGCTTTCAACAGAGCGGTACTCTACTCATTCATCTCTCCACGGATCAAGGTACCAATCTTACCATGATAGGTTAAGGTTAAGGATTGGGCATTGTGCAAAGAAGATTTTTGTTTAACCTTTTTTTATCCTTTCTCATTTCTTTGTTGCTTTATTTTTCTCTCTCTAACATTTGCCATTCTTAACTAAAAACTATGATCATCATTGTTGAAGTTTTGGAATTTTTTTGCCAATCCTTTATCCTTTTTTGGCAATATCAGGATATCATATCGTGTTTGATGTTCAACTTTATTTTTCAATTAATATGTTGCGTTTGTTATCCATATTCATCTCCATTTACACAGATTTTTAGCAAAATTGTAATTTGTGTTTCTTGTCATCAGTTTATGAAGGGGAGAAGTCTTTTTACAAGGAAGAAGACATTGCCATTCCAGTAAATGTTTATGGAAAAACTAAAGTGGCAGCAGAGCAGTTCATTTCAGAAAAATGTCCAAACTTTGCAATTTTGAGAAGCAGTATCATCTATGGGCCACAAACAGTCTCGCCAGTTCCAAAATCTCTTCCAATTCAGGTGCTTGTGGAATACGTGCACAGTTTATTGGCAAACTAATGCTCCAACTCAGGCATTTGGATTGATGAAACTCTTGAATCTGATGCTTTGTAAATTTTGCTACTTATTGCATGATTAGGATATTTTGAGCTTAAAAAGATGATGGTGGTAAACTTTTATTGCCAATTTCCAATCTGCAGTATCAAAAAAGTCTTTTTCCATCATTCATGGTTTCTTCCTTTTAAACTGTTTGAAAGATAAAATCTTAGTGTTGATGATTTCAATTTTTGGCTTCAACCTTGTTGCAAAGATTATAGTTTTCCTTTATTATGTTCTAGGTACTTTTTCTAATTCTTCTAGGATCCACTTGAAGAGAGGGCATGTTCTTGTGAAGGATATTTCTATGAGGGGAATTTGTAATTACTTGAGGATGTTGTGTTTATTCATACTATCTGACTGTTGCAGTGGATTGATGGTGTCCTTGCTAAAGGAGAAAAAGTGGAGTTCTTTCATGATGAGTTCCGTTGTCCAATTTATGTTAAGGATCTTGTATCTATCATACTAGCTTTAACAAGCCAATGGATATCAGGTATAGGAGTTTTAGTACCTAAGCTAAGCTTATATATTGGTTTGACATATGGTATGCTGCAAAGAAATTCTTAACAAGACATTTCACTGAGACCTTTTTTAAGGTTTCAAAACACAATCAAATGCTAATCTAAATATTTGATATCTTTCAAAATTGTTTCTATACTACAACTGAATTACAATCATGTATGACATTTGACATTTTCTTGAGTATAATTTTTGCATTAACTAACAATTGTCCCCTCTTGTTCTTGTAAATATTATTTCCTTTGGCTCTTCCAGATTTTTCCTTTTAAATGCCCATCTTCTACTTTCTTGTATTGTTCAAATTACTTTAAGCTCTGATATCTCAAATTTGCATTCATGAATTCTGCTTTTCTGATTCTTGTCAGAGGGTAAGCAAATGCAATTGTTACTTAATGTTGGTGGACCTGATAGGGTATCTCGTGTTCAAATGGCCGAGGCTGTTGCACAATTTAGGAGGTATGACACCTCATTGATCAAATCAGTGTCTGCTTCATCGGTACGTACTATGCTTCATTTGATTACAAGATTTTGTGATATGGAAATCATTAACCTGTTTTCTTTGGTAATCTTTGATATCTTTCTATATGAAATTATTGACTGGAATGCTACTCCTTAAAAAATTTAAGGTTCTTTGTGTCCTCATTGCATGTCATCTCAAAGTTTTCATTGATCTTTTGATGGTCATTTTAACACTTTTTTGGTTTAATATGATGTATCTTCTTCTCTTTGGTCACTGTGCTTGATTGAGATGTAACTTTTTCTTGTTTCCCAGGTTGATCGAGGTGTGAAGTCCCCAGCTGACATATCAATGGATATCACTAGATTGGTTCAAACCCTAAGAATTTGTCCTGTTTCATTTAAAGATGGAGTGAGATTAACACTTACACCTGAAGCTAAGCAATGAGGCAGCCAGGATATGAAATAAGCCTTCCTTGTTTGCATGAGTCTTTTTTTTTTCCTACCATTGAGACCAATGTGCCCTCACTAGCTCTTACTACATTCTGATTGTTGTAAAATAAAACTAGACAAAAAAGTCAAGGCAAGCCAATTTGTTGGACCTTCTTGGAATTAGAAAATGACAATTTAATCCAGTCACAAAACAAGGTCCAACAAGTTGGTTTTCTTTCTCCATCTTTGTGACTGTCATTCTCCTTTACAATTTTCATGATATACATTTTATACAAAGAAGTCAGTGTACTGACGTACTGCATAGGAATTGCTTTCCAATTTCTATTACTATAAGAAAGCACTGTAATAACCCTCAAATGTTTTAACTGATTATTTTCTCAAAATGAAGTGCACTTTTGAATCACTTTATTTTGATATATATTAAAAGGTGGTATATGAGAGTAAATTCTCAAATTAGTTTAAAGTAAGAAGACATGTAAAGATCTACCTACCCTTAGTTTAATTTGATTTCAAATATTTTGTGAATATAATTAATTTAAATCAATGATATATAAATTCTTATTTTTTTTCTCCTTTGAAGGAGCTAAATCAAATCTCTTATTAGTTTTTCAGCTTTATAAAATGACATTTACTTTAAACTTTTTTTATGCCAAATAATAGTAAAAAATAAAAAAACTAAATTAAATGACATTTTATAAATTCAAGGATTAATCAACTAAAACTGCTCCACTCATAATTTTGACGACTAACTTGGGGTTTACTATGTAGCTGAAGCTTGAACTTAAAAAAATTCTAAAATCAAAGATTACCTTATATGCCAAAAAAAATTTGAAGGGAAAGCTGAAACAACAGAATAGCCAGGATAGGCAGAATTTGCCACTTAAGTTGCGTATGCGAGTTTGGTCCAATGAATGAACTCTGTGGTCATGATTAAACAAGAGGAAACTTCTCAGATAGTTAATATTCTTTATTGAAAATATAAAATAGATAGGGCTATCCAAGAATCTTTCTTCGTGGTGAGGATTAGACAAGGAATCTACTCTTTCCAAACCTCACTTCCTCTTCTCACCAATGCAATCTGTGGCCAATTTACAAAACAGTTACCACTAATGTCTTCTTTTGTTGCCCTTCATAGCCTGCATGGCTCTCTTCTACGATCCCAGTTTCTTGGCCAAGATAACCTCACTCACCTTTATCCTCGGAACAAGCCTTCCACCATTAACACCAAATCAATAGTTCAACAACCATGTGCAAAATTCGACATGCTGCAAATCTTGGGAGGTAGAGGGCTATGCAATGGAGAAGAAGGTCTTCAACAAGAGCTGAAAAAGGAAGTTGGTGTTGATGAGAAGGCACCACCACCATCAGCAAGTGACAACAAGGAGCAAGAAAACTCCACAACACCACAGTCCTCGACAAGTGTTGCTGAAGATGGGTTTGAGAAAGAGTTGATGGGGTTAACTGGGGGGTTTCCTGGGGGTGAAAAAGGGTTGAAAAAGTTCATTGAAGAAAACCCACCTCCCAAACCAAGTGCAAACTACAAAAGTTTGAGTCTTTCACTCTCAAAGAAGCCAAAACCACCAGAACTTCCTCTGTTACTGCCAGGAATGATTGCCATTGTGAAGAACCCAAATAACCCGTTTTACATGTACTGTGGTATAGTCCAAAGAATCACAGATGGAAAGGCAGGGGTTCTCTTTGAAGGAGGGAATTGGGATAGGTTGATCACATTCAGGCTTGAAGAATTGGAGCGCAGAGAAAAAGGGCCTCCCATGAAGAATCCCAGGTCTGCAGCGCTTGAACCGTTTCTTCAAAAGAAGAAATCATAGTTCAGCTTTGTTACAATTTGCAAAACACGTTCGCTTTTGTATCATATGATATATAATACAATGTAATAATAAATCTATCTGCCTATTTGATAATTAAAAGCTTTGATGAGGATTGGTATTGCTGGTTTTGATGATTTTGTTGGGTGAGTAGTATTGAGGGAGAATTAAAAGTGAACAATGGTTGAATTGGTGAGAAAAAAAGGTACTTAATTGTGAACATGTAAATTTTTGTTATGTAAACAAAAAAACAAAGAAGAAATTGATGGTGTTTAACTTAGTCTGGTTTGTAGTGTTTGTGCAGCTGTTCAATGGTGATGAGCATTGCCCCTTTCCACTATCAATTATAGAACTGCTATGACTAGAAGAAGATTACTATTGATTTTTCATTTCAATTGAATGGTTTACACATTATTGACCTCAGGCGAGCTGAGTTAGTAGGATGGGTTAGGTTATTAACTTGTGTTAAAATTATCACATCTTTCTTCCCTCTTTCCAATGACAAAGAGAATAAAATAAAATGAAAGGCAAAAAATATATTTTAATTTTAATTTGTTATTGGATAATAAGGAAATCAAGATACAAGTTACAATAAAACAATAATTTTTATTTTTTATTCTCTGTATTTTAAATTAAAATAAAACTTTAATCTTAATGTCTTATTCTATTTTCTTAATCTTAAAGGACGAAGGTTAGAGTGGGAGAAAGGAGAGCGAGTAGGTCAAAATAGAATTGAACTGTTTATTTTCCTGTTTTTTCATTTTTAATTACTTAAATCTAGTAAACAAATAAAAAAAATGAAAAGTATTGTTTATTTTGATTTAATCTTTTAAATTATTAAACACTTATTTTTAAAGAAAACTTCATTTTAATTACTTAAATCTAATAATAAATAAATGAATGAAAATTATTGTTTATTTTGATTTAATCTTTTAAATTATCCAAGCACTTCTTTTAAAAGAAAGATTTTTTTAATTAAAAAAAAACCCAACTCAGCCAAAGAAAAACTACAAATGTGACTAATGCGTCACAAAGGATTTTTTTTTTTAAATATTTAACAAATCAGCATTAAGGACTCAAATTAGAGAACATAGGTTAAACTATAACAAATTAAACATTTTCATATTTTAATTCTTAACATTTTTACTTATTAAAATATAATAAATTTGTTCAATATATATATGTGTGTAAAAAATTATATATATATATATATATTTAATATATTATATATTTATAGTTAAAATTATAATTATTAAATTAATAAAAATTAGTTTGAGTGAGGAACAACTCGATATCTTTTAAGTAAAGTCTTGAGTTTGAATCTTTGTGTATGAATTTTTTTTTAATAATAAACTCATCCATTACATCTAAATTAACGACTCAGGTTAGATCTAATTTAAAGCAGATAAAAAAAATATAATTATTAATTTAACTGTGAGTTGACTATATTTATTTATGTAATTATAAATATAGTTTTAAAAATAATAATTTATATATATACATATATATGTATAACATGATTTATAAAAATTACTTAAATTTATAATAAAATATTATAATCAATAAACAAATTTATATTAAATTTGTAAATACTAATATTCATAATTATAAAATATAAAAATAATAATAATTGTTCAAAATTAATTAAAAATATCAAAATTTATTTAATAAATAAGAATTATTATGATAAAAATCAAAGATAAAAAAAAATAATAAAATATTTAATTATATATCAATCATAAATCATTTTTGATTTACAATATACTGTTTAGACTTTTTATCAAATAATAATAATAATAGATAAAATTAATAAAAATATATATAAATTTGTTAGAAAAAGTTAAAAAAATAATGAGAACTAGAAAATAATACACCAGAAATGAAAAAATTGGTAATTTATCATGTTTGATATATAAGATAATATACGTAATTGATTACAAGCATTTAATATTTATTAAAAATTAACTACATTGTAATGTTAATATAACATAAGAAATATTAATTATTAATATTTACGTTTATTATTATTTTTTATATTTAATTTTTTTAAAATATTATAATATAATATTTTATTATTATTAATATTTACTTTTATAAATTTTAATTAAACAATTATCATCGACTATATTTATTAAAATAATAATAAATATTTTCCAAATATTTTATAAAATATAATATAATTAATAAAATTATTAAATTTTTTAGAACACATTAATTTAATATAATAATGTCTGATGAATTAATTTTATTTTAAAAATTAAATTTATAAATATATTGAAAATTATTTTTACTTTAAAAATTAAATTTTAAATTAATTTAATATAAAATATTAGGTAAAACTTATAATAAAAACTTGTTTTAACCAAATTAAATTTATAAATAAATAATTTTTTTAAAAATAATTTAGGGGTTATTTAAAATTCAATATATAATTAAATTTAAAATAATTTTTTTAATCCATGCATGCCGTTGTCGGTAATTAGGGTTTATAAATTGTACTTTTTAACTCGTTATGGAAAACACTGAGTGCCTCAGCTAGAAACGACATCGTTTTTCACTCGGCCATCCTTTTTCAGTTCAACCTAGCACTGCTCTTTCTTCAGCGCCGATCACAAACCATCGACTCCACCTTCTGCACTTGCGACTCCTTTGTCAAATTTCGATTCTGTGACACAGAGCTACAGGTTTCTAAACTTTGATTTCCAATTCTTTTCTGTTCCTATTATCTTACTCAAATTTTAAATTCAATGTCTTGCTTTCATGATGTGTACTTGAGATTTGTAAACGTTTACTAATTTGGTTTCAATGCTGTAATTACGTTATTATTATTATTATTATTAGGTACGGACCCTCCACGAGTTTGTGATAAGGGTCATTTGGATAATATGTTTATTCAGTGGGGATTTTGGTGAATTCCTTTTGTATCATGTATAAATTGTGTTGAAATTTGCTCACAGATTAGGAACTAAGCATGGGGGAGGAGAATGAAGACATCAAAACATTCAAGGATTTGGGCTTATCTGAGCCATTGGTGGAAGCTTGTGAAAAGTTGGGTTGGAAAAATCCGTTAAAGATACAGAAAGAAGCCATTCCTCTTGCGCTGGAAGGTTAGTGTTTTGTAGAGTCAATCTCATAGTTGATGTTTTAATTCTGAATGTAAAATGCAAAGTGACAATGATAGTCATATGACGCTGATGATAATTGGATTTTGAACATGATATTTTTTATTTCAATATTATAGTTTTTATACTTGTTTTTGCTGATTGCATATTTTTTCAATAGTGTCCCTCCAATTACTATATTTTCCCTTATCTTTGGTTCTGGAGGGTGGCTTAATATTATTGATGGTCACACCCTATTAAAGTGCTGTTTATTCTTTGTGGTTTGTGTTTTGCAGGAAAAGATGTGATAGGACTTGCTCAAACTGGTTCTGGTAAGACTGGAGCTTTTGCTCTTCCCATATTGCATGCCCTCTTAGAAGCTCCACGCCCAAAAGATTTCTTTGCTTGTGTCTTGTCACCCACAAGGTATGAATGATACTTTGATACCTGATAATGGATTTGATTTTCATGTAATTCAAATTTTCTTGAACGCAATTGTTCAGGCTGATATATATAACAAGTTTATTTGTTCTGTTTTTCACCTTTAAATTGATTCAGAGAACTTGCTATTCAAATTGCTGAGCAGTTTGAAGCTCTAGGTTCTGAAATTGGTGTCAAGTGTGCTGTGGTGAGTTGCTATCTTTTTTATTTCTTATATGATTTGTTATGTATGAATTTCATTGCTTCCTCTGTACTTCATACCTTTGAGTTTGTTTTGTTTTCCCCCGTGAGACTCTTTCCAGAATGATACTTATCTTATTATATGGTGATTAGGAAGTTGTATTCATTACATGCATATTAAACAATCTATTTGATTGACATCTTTTCCTTTTTTCTGTAGCTTGTTGGAGGAATTGACATGGTACAACAATCTATCAAGATAGCAAAGCAACCTCATATTATTGTAAGTGTTACTGCTGCTGTAAGCATGCTTTGATTTAATTTGTTTCTTGTACTTATATAGTGTTAGGTAGGTGGTAATTGAGTAAGATCCAACATCCAAGATTTAATCTTGAGTATGTGTGTAAAATATGTCACTCATGTTTCACTAAAGAAATGCATTCTATTCTTCCTATTTGTTGTTGATTTCTAAATTAATTACGACTTATTTAACTCATTATAGATCAAAACTTATTCATGAATATTGTGATAATTATATGATTTCTCCTGCACAGAGATTAATTGATCAGTTTTCAACTTTTCATATTTTCTTAAATTATTATCTTTGACACATATACCTGGAGAGATATGTATAGTATTTTGTAGTCAAGGTTGTTAGTCTTTGATGCTATGGCCGGTTCACTTCTTAAAAGAACAAGCCTCATCATGGAAAATAGGGGTATTTTGTTGATATTCCACCTCTGGAGGTTTACTAATTATATGTAAAAGAGATTCGTTGGATTATAACATTCGAGTCAATGAGCATTTAACATATTTACTTGGAATTCCAAATTGTTTCTCTGTGTCTTGGCAATGATTTGTTTTTCCTTTTTCCATTTTTCAATTTTTTCCTCTGTTTTTGTTTTGCTTCCAGCCATATTTACACCAAATTTTAAATCTGATTTCACCCACCCTTGCAATTGGCAAAGCTCAAACAACACAAGGGAATATTATAAATGTAACTACAGGAACCCATAATAGTTATAAATCTTTCTCATATTATGTGTCGTTCTTCATCTAATAATGACTTCCATTCATTTTTTGCTTCATATTTAATTTTTTATGAGCCAATCTTTGCATGCTCTTGATAAGTAGACTAACTCAATATTCATTCCCTCCCTCCTCCTGATCAATTGCTTGAATGAAATCTGGTCACAATTTTGTCATTTTCATCCCATAAAAACTTAATTTAAAGTTTGGGTACAACACCTGTATAATGTAGGAGTCCCTATGTCTTTTGTTGGACTGTTCTTTTTCTTTTTTGTGTATGTCTTGGAATTCAACTTGCTTCTTATCGTGAAACTGAATAGATTTAATGATTGATTTCAGTGTTAAGCATGTGTACTGCTTCTAAACTATGAAATTGCACTTTAATGATGCAAACAATTATTCAATTGACAAGAGAAAGCTAAACTTATGCAGAATCTGCATGCATAAGACTCAGATTGTGCTTTTGGATTTAGTGCTGCCTTTAGTTTTTCACAATTTTTTTGGCTTCTCATTTCATCAGTTCTGTATTTTGTTTAATATTTATTTATTGTTTATGTTGAATTCATACTCTTGCAGGTCGGGACACCTGGACGTGTTTTGGACCACTTAAAAAACACGAAAGGATTTTCTCTAAGTAGATTAAAATACTTGGTATGATTTCTACATTATATATATATTGATATTTGTATCTGCATCATAAAAGATTTGAATATTCATATATTTGGTTTTGGTGAATGAATATGGGTGAATGCTTTATTCTTAATTTCTGTTTTTTTCCCCTGTGAATATAGGTGAATGCTTCTAATGGTTATAAATACTGTTTTTTTTTAAATGAAATTATGTATTTTAGAATTCAATGTATTTACAAGAAATGGAGGGCATCCCTATATTTACACCAACAATCCAAGACCTCAAGACAGAGAAAATACTTGCCCTATGGCTTTAGTACTTTTATTCCTTTCTATCCTTAGATTTTTCCATCTATATTTTAGCATATTTATCAGCTGAAAGCTACAATTTTCTGCTCTATTCCTCTATTTCATATTCTTGTCCTCATTTCTGTGTCATACATACAGCTGGACTAACTTGATTGCTCTTGATTTTGAGCAGGTGTTAGATGAGGCAGATAGGTTGTTGAATGAGGACTTCGAAGAATCACTGAATGAGATTTTACAAATGATTCCTCATGAGCGGAGGACATTTCTGTTTTCTGCTACGATGACTAAGAAGGTATATATGTAAATTTATAAAATATTGCACAGTTAGAAAATATATTAATTAAAAATTTTAATCTTTTTCCCCTTGGCATGAATTGACCAAATAATATGCAAGTGAAGCTTTTTCTTTCCATATTCTGAGATTGGAACCCTGTTAGATGTAGGGAAGCTTCTTGGGATTTAACATAAATTCTGGTTGGAGATATATAATTTTTTAATAGATTCTCAAAAGCATTTAATCATGTATTTTTGACCTAATGTATTATATTTTGTTATGTTATGAATTTTCTCAATTAAGGGTGTTATGATGGAAATGAAATTGAACAAAATGGTTTCTTTGGGATGCTTATATGCTGCTGATACTTGATTGTTGACAAGTATTTTTAAATTCTTGTTGCTAATAGAGCAAGGTTCACTTTCACCTTTGCAGGTCCAGAAGCTTCAGAGGGTTTGTTTAAGAAATCCTGTGAAGGTACATCTGTAATATTTGCAAATATGTTTATATATTAAGTAAATTAGTCTCACTCTCTTGAGAGATGCTTAAATTAGTTTGTGTCGCCCTATATTTTAAAAAATTACACTCCCTTCACTTGAGAAGTTAATATTTTACACTTTAGTTGATTTGATTGTAAACAAGCTTCTTAAGGACAAATTCTCTCTCTGTAATTTTTGGTATTAGTGATAGCTAATTTTGAACCCTTACTATCAACTTTGGGGTTGTAGAAGATGAAGTTTCTGGCAACTCAGGAAGTTGCTCAAAAAGGGAAAATGTCTTTGGGAATGTTGTTCACAGTTGCTTGCCCCTGCTGAGGTTTGTTTACAATAAAATGGATTAAAATATAGGACATTTTGTCTCTTAAGGGAAGGGAGTGTGGTAGTTAAAATTAGTAGTGAAGACAATGTAATTTAAGCATCTCTCTATGGAGGAGGAGTGTTATTTACCCACATGTATAAGTTTTTTAGTCCTGATGTTAATCACAGTTTGTTTTATTGGATTTAGATTGAAGCAGCATCTAAGTATTCGACTGTTGACACACTGAAGCAGCAGTATCGCTTCTTGCCTGCCAAACACAAGGTTTCTTTTCTCTGATGTTCAACAAAATGTTGTGTTTCAAAAAAAAAAAATTGTTATCAATTTTACATTGAATTTCTTAATACTCATGGTTTTTGCCCCAATGGAGGCTGCATAAAGACTACTAAATATTCATTGTGGAAGAAGTTATTTGATTTAGTATAAGAGAATTTTCACACTTATATTCAGCAACGTTGCCAAAGATATAGTATAAGTGAAATTTCATAATTGCATGGCTTCGTTTGAAGTTTCTTAAGTTGGCATCATTTTCCTTCAAAATTTATCTGCTGCTTGCAATGTACTAGACTAGAATGCACAATCATTTAGCTAGGACAAACTTCGACTATGAATTAATTCTTTGCTGTGCTATAGATTTAGGAAGCTAAAAGTATGTTATTTAGTAAAATATCATAAAAGATTATGATTTTAGATAGAGACTAGAAAGCACTGAGAAAATGTTTGTATGGAATTAAGATGTCCGGCATTAATTATGCATATGGTTAGAATTCACCATATAAGACTTGAGTAATACTTTTCCCTTGTGCTAGTTTTTGGAAATGAATTTTTGCCCAGTCTGTTTCTAATGACTTTAATAAATTGGCTATTTGGAGTAAAATTAATATAAATTCATTCATCTTGGTTTTTGTGGATCATGTCTATTATCTTTTATGCTTGTGATGATTGTGTTCATTAATTATGGGTGTTTCTCTCATAGGATTGCTACCTTGTCTACATTCTCACTGAAATGGCTGGAAGTACGTCAATGGTGTTCACTCGTACTTGTGATGCAACTCGGCTTCTAGCTTTGATCCTTAGGAATCTTGGTTTAAAAGCCATCCCAATTAATGGTCATATGAGCCAGGTAATTGTACTACAGATCTTGTGTTATGGTTATAATTTGTTCTCAGCTTTTCTTTCCTTATTATGGAAGGGGATTCTGAGATGGAAGGGGTGGTTGTCTTTGTTATCTTTTTTCTGTTATTTATTGGTGTGCCAAGGAAGCATTGTTAACTTGCATTGTAATAATCTTTTTGACAGTCAAAGAGGCTTGGAGCCTTGAATAAGTTTAAATCTGGGGAGTGCAATATTCTCCTTTGCACTGACGTAGCCAGTAGAGGACTGGATATTCCAACTGTAGATGTGGTGATTAACTATGACATTCCCACGAACTCCAAAGTAAGATGTGATATGCATTTCTTTTGTACTTTCATTCATATGTTTAATCATACTTAATGGTTAATCAAAAGTTCACAGTTAGCCCCTTCATGTAATTATACAAGTTTGTTTTCAAGGTAATACATGAATGACACGATACACCTATATTATTAACACAAGACCTGAAATTTTGGGAAGAGATGGACGTTTTAGATTTCTGTTCTTGTGAGCTACAGGATTATATACATCGTGTGGGAAGGACTGCTCGTGCGGGGCGCTCTGGGGTTGCCATTTCTCTTGTGAATCAATATGAGCTGGAGTGGTACATTCAAATAGAGAAGCTCATAGGTAGCATATGCTCTGTATTTGCTTTGAGATTTTATAAGTAACAAAAGTTTCTTATTAATTAACAAATTCAAGTACACTTCAGGTAAGAAGCTACCAGATTATCCTGCACAAGAAGAGGAAGTTCTGCTTTTGGAAGAGCGTGTTGGTGAGGCCAAAAGATTAGCCTTATCGGTAAGATTTTCTATTTAGTTTAGTTACATTATATACTATTTTTTCTTCTTTTTTGGGTCGTTTTTATACTATTTTTCTGTACATTTCTTTTTAAAAATAACAAAAATTAAGATGGGAATTTTGTTGGAAGTTTAAGTTCTGATGGCCCTTTTTATGCGCCTGCACCGGTTGAATTTAGTTTTCATTGATTATAAATAATATGATGATGAATTTTCCTGTATTATTTAGTTTTGATAGCAAGCAATTGTGTGGTAGAAAGGAGTTAATTTTGTATGAGTACGTAAAGATGTGTGCGCCGTGATTATATTCCTGGAATTAGTAAATTATAAATGATGATAAAGGATTTGAAATCAACCAATGTTTATGTGCTTTAAATTAATTATGAGGAAGTACTCAAGTGTTCCTATAATTATTTGTTTGTGTAGAAAATGAAGGAGACTGGAGGGAAGAAGAAACGGAGGGGCGAAGGAGATTTTGAAGAGGAGGATGTGGACAAGTACTTAGGTCTCAAGAATGGAAAATCATCTAAGAAGTTTAGGAGAAGATGAGATCAATGCAGTTGAGTTAGTCATCCTTTGTAATATGCAGTCAAAATTTGACAAAGATAAATTTTGGGCAATTTGAATCAAAATATTTTTCCCTGTCTATTGAACATCATAAATCAGTGGGATATATGTTAAAAGAGGTTAAAAATAAAATATTTTTTATTAAAAATAAAAAGTTGTTATCTTAAAATAATAAAAATGATTCAATAATTTTTTTGTTAATATTTAATAGTGTGTATTTAATATTTTTGTCCAAAGATAGGTGTTAAAAAAATGGAAATTCTTAGTTGCACTCTTGGAAACGGTCGTATCAGAAGTGTAGATTACACCTCCATATATCTTTACCTTGTAGTATAGTGAGGCGGTTGTGTATTGATGCAGGAAGCTTTGGTTATCAAAAGAATATTAATATTTTTTTTAAGTTATTAGATATTACCATTTTATTTAAAACATTCTTCTAGGTCTAACTCTATAGTTTTTCGATTTTTAACTTTTTACATTATTTTTAATTCTATTACATTTTCATTCCAAAAAAATGAGTAATAAATTCTTTACATCAAGATTCAGGAAAGATGTTAATAATTTAATTAGAATCAATTATTAATGCATTGAGTCTAAATCATGGTGAGTTATTCTGAGTCACTTTGCAGTTTTATAGATTTTAATTTACATTTTATAACGAAGTAAAACATTATAGTTCTTTTGATAATTTATTAAGTTTAATATTTTTTATTTTTTTAAAATTGTCTTTGTATTTGGCTCCTTCAACAAAATTTTCTTAGCTCTTCCCTTGACAGTAAATAATGCAATTCTTTTTAAAATCCTATCTATTGTTCTTCAAACATCTCACACTATAAACAATTGTAGTAATATATCAAATTAGATTTAAAATTATTAGTACTACTTAATTTAATCTTGATAATATATAAAAATAAATTTAACCTTCAACTTTGATATCTATCAATCAATTTAGTTTATAAAATTGGCATCATTGGTGAAATTAATCCTTAATATTACAAAAATTAATAAATTTAGTCTATAAATTTGGTAACCATTTCTATTTTGCTCCCTGAATTTAATCTCTAACATTAGGACCGAATTGATTAAGAGTATTTTTTTTATTTAAATCTTTATTCAATAAGTTCTTTTTAAATAATGACATATATCACGAATTTAACGAAAATTTTAATAAGAGAAACTAAAATTAATTTATGTTAATAACTTAAATCAATAAATTTATTGAAACAAATTCAAAAGAGCCTGAGTCATAATTTATTTCCATAAATTGTCTGAGTTCTTTCAAAAAGGTATTAATGCAAAAAATTCAAATTCACCGATACACATCAAAGTTATGTATCAAAATGATTAAATATTTTAAAAGTCAGGAATCAGATTGGCAAATCCTTTTATTGTGGATTCAGATAATTAATAATTGCTAAATTTAAGGACAGATTTTGCTTTTTTTCATAAATTCAAGAATTAAAATGACTAATAATTGTTGATTTACGCACCAATTTGATGACTTATTGCAAAAATATTTTCCTATGACTCGTTCTCTTGTAATATTATCCCACCAATATACATCAAAGGCACCCTTAAAGTCATGTACCATGCCAATCGCCCAAACCAACAATTTCATGGCATTGATCAAGCATATGGCTCCTGAAAACCCAGATAAGTTAAGAAAAGAAATCAGCGGTGCAGTTGCAGAACCATTTCATGCACAATAAAGATGAAGTAATATAAAGGAAACAAAATGACTGCCAATAATAACATTCTGCAACATGCATGCACAACCCAACATATATAATTTACACACATTAGGCGCTTGCAATTTGCACTCTAAAATTACTCTTAAAACACATAGAGTTCAGCCAATTCTTCGAAAGAGTCATAACCAAACTTAGGATCTGCGTTCTCTAACATCCACAATAGATGATCAAAGAGAACCACCTCACAGTTAACCACCAAAACACTTTCATCACTGCCCTTTTGCTTTGACTTGTTGATCAAAGCTTTAAGAAGTGGATGATTCAGATACTTGGAGCTGATCATATACTGTTTCCTTGTGCTGCCAACAAATATAGTTTCACAATTTTCTTCATCTTGCATTCCATGTCCTGCCCATAAGTCTTCCTTAGCAGATTTGGACCTCAGGCTACTATATGATGAAGATCTTCCTAGTTGCTTAGACAAGCTCTTGCACTTGCGGAGTATTACATTGATCTTCTTCATGCTTTCTTTTTTCTTAGGGGGGCGGGGAGTAATTAAGATTTTTTGAGGGATAGGGATAAAGAGAGGGTTGATAAGGAAGTAGCAATGGATGAACACAAAGAAGAACAAATAAGATTAAAATGTACTTACAATAAAGTGTATTGTGTTTTTAAAGAGAGTGAGGAAGGAGGGTGCAAAGTCATTGTATTGGGGTGCTATAAGTGTGGGTTCAGTTTGCAATCAAACATTTTAGTGACACAAACAAGTCATCTTTTGGTTAGTAGTTTTTACTTAACATGCACAACAGACACACACAACAGAAGCTCCTTTCACTGATCAGGCACCCAAGTAACTAGCCCATTGTTTTTCTGAAGCCATCTACTTCTGGCCAAGGACTTTGGTCCCACTCCGAATGCCCATGCCACCCAAAAAGAAAGAACTTGAATTAAAACAAAAAAAATAAAAATGAAGCATGTCAAGTCTTAGATAAAAGAAGGGAAATGTGCAAAGTTATTCGAATGTTTATGATTTTATAGTCAAGCAAAAGGCGTAATATTTTGTCTAAGGGATTGTCTTTTGTTACTCCCATGTGTTTATTGTCACTCCAGTTTAATAAATTTTTACATAAAATATCTTTACTAATACTATGGTTATTATAAGCAAGAGAAAATGGTATTTAAATGAGTGATAATAGACACATCAGAGTGGCAATAGATAGAATCTTTGTTTAAATAGATTAAAAAATTATTATTTTTCTTACATCACTCACTCTTCAGTAATTTTAGTTTTTGCTAAATTTGCCAAACTAGAAAATGTAAAAGATGCTTAATCCAATAGCACGGTTGCTGTGTTGAAAGAGCACCAATTTTCCTAATAAAACCAAGTGCCAAACATATTAAGGCACAATTTAAATAGAACTATGACGAGCTTTAGAGATTCTGAATTCCACTATCAGTTGAAATAGAAAAGTTGTACATTGTACAAGTTGTATGGTACTGTCTTTTTCATTTTCCTATACATGACTAGTTTTTGCAAACGTTTTCCAAACAGGTTTGTTACACTTTTCTCAGAACCTAGTCCTTTTTTGAGGGATACAAGGAACAGTTATTTATTAAGTTCTTATCACTTACATGGTTGACTTCATTGTTGCTATGTACAAACTGATAAGAGCCTTGCTTGACAAGGCTAATAATTCAAGATAACATTTAAGATAAGAAGAGCCACTATTCTGACGTGTATGTGAAATGTGTTACATCAAAAAGATACTTTATTTCTCTGCTATAAATATCTATATGGTTTCGTTAAAAATAGGAAAAAAGGGGCCACTCAATATGTGTCATGGGGTTGATGTCCCACAGGAATGGAACCTTGACTAGGTGCTTTGTCTTGTGGCTGATGCTTAAGGTTGTGCACACAACTGTTTGTCCCCAAAACATCTCACCTTGTTCCTTTTTGACAGTTTTTAAGATTTCAAACATTAAGAATGGGTTAATTGCAGTGAAAAAGGAAAATCAGTTTAAACGTTTTCATTGTGCTGTTAAGTATCGTTCGTTACCTTGTGCTAAAATTTATTATAACAATTAAGTTTTATCTCACTAAAAATTATACAAATCACCCGATGTAATTGAGTTTAGTCTTCCTCTAATCTTTACTAAACTTAAAATCATGTCATCTGCTCTCTTATTTAACATTTTTAGTATTTTCTTTGCATATATCCAAATCACTTAATCAATTTTCCATATTTTTTTTACCGTAGGTGCTAAAATTTATTAGAAGTTTACATATTTAAACTCTACAAACAGTTACCTATACAAGTTGTTCATATCAGTATACAGAAATGGATTGAATGATCTCTATTCTGAGGACATAAAAGCTCAGCCAGTAACTTCAACTTTGAACCAAGTTAAGATATCTTCATTTTCTTCCCTACCGATTATGGCGCACAGTCTTTGAATGTCAATCAAATAGGTACCACTCCCTTTGTGGTCCTCTGAAAATGTGTAACAATTGACTTCATTTGACATTAATATGTATGGCATTGGAATATATGCAATTCAAATATTTGAAGTGAAATGCAAGGTCCGGGTCAACTGGTAAGAAATAATAATGGACAAAGTTTCACACTTTAGAAATTAATTAGTGATATATGAAAGGATACTTTTCCTAATATACTATTAGCAAAATATATGCAAATTGCAATATTAATTAGGTGGCTAAAGATATAGTTGCCAGGTAAGTCTCACATAACCAAAGAATTTGTGGATGACACAGAGAAAAAGATTCATGAGGGAGGAAATTTACAAACACTGCAGAATAGAGCCAAAATAGTTGAGTTTTCACATCTGAAATCTAGTAGATACTGAGTCAGCTATGGTTTGACAAGCAGCGGATCAAGAATTAATTTCATAGCGTTTATGGGAAATATATTTTGGAAACAAGTTGAATAATAATATTTGCTCAATTTAATATTTAATTGATATTTTTGGAGATTTAGTCATTATTCTTTAGTAATTACCTTACTCAAGTTGCACAACTTTTTTTTTCTAAATCTTAATTTAAATCAGTATTTTTCAGGTGATTTTCCTTTTTCTAATTTCTTTTTAAACATGTCCAAACGGCAATGTTATTTGACGGTTATCTATGCAAGTGATTAAAAGAAACATGTTCTATGGTAATTATTTTTCAGTAATTAAGGACAATGCAAAACTTTGAGTTTAAAAACTTGCATACGAACTTTCTAGTGCCTTGTGTTCCACACTACTTAAATGAATTGAAGTTAGCGTGTTTTAAGTTTTAAATATGCTTTTCATCGCTCTTTTAAATATTTTAAATTTCTTATTTAATCTTTTATTTTTAAAATTACAATTTAATCCTTTTATGTATATTTTTTTTCTTTTTCCACATACTTCCTCTCAGTTTTTCATTTGTTTTCCTTATCAAGTTTAGGTGTATCTTAGGAATAATGAATCAAATAAAAAAATTTATGATATTTAAAGGGACTAAATAGATTAAAGAAAAACACTTAATAGATGAAAGAATAACTGAGAAATCATATAATCTTTTTACAAACATTAAATTATAACATTTTCAAAACAAAAGATTAAATAATTATAATATTTATAGAGCCTACAAAATTAAACACTATTTCAGTAAAACATGAACTGTGTTCCCAGGTACAGGAAGGGAAACTAGACAAATGACTGCAACATGTTGCAAAGTGACAAAAGCTATGCACGTAGACAATTTGTCTACAAGCCAAACCTCTTCCACATGATCCGATTCCATGAATCTTGAACATGCAAAACCACAGACAAGCACTGTGTGAGGATGGTATATATGATCTGCATGTTGGCATATATGTATTGCTATGTAGTACATACACTCATCGACATTTGGACATGGACATTGTGACATTCATTCTTTTGTAGCAAAATTATTGCAATCTAGATCAATTTGTTTACTTGGTCATATTTTTCAATCAAATGAAAGCAATAATCTAACACTCAGTTAAGGAGCCAAACTTTATTTTTGATGATATTCTCAACAGTTAGTAACAATAGATAAGGGATACACGTGCCGTTGTTATGGTTGATTGATGGAGACACTGTGCCATAACTTTAACTTATAGCTTGCAATAGCTTCTTAGTTATGGTTGAAATGCCAATAATTCACTCCTACAAAAAGAACTTTATCAACAGTCTCAAGCACAACTAGTTCCTTTTCTCCTCCACAATAGTTCCTCATTATCATAATTCTCCCTTTCCATCTAACAATGCAAATCTTTAAAGTTTTTGAATCCTATTCAACACTAACAATATGACTTAGTTTTTCAATTAAAACTTTGATTGTTGATAAATTTTCATTCTGCTAAATTATTTATAGAAAATTAAGTAAAGCTTTTGGTCATTTATAAGTGTGTCAAATTAAGTTGAATATTTTTTACTCATCAACTCGCCTAATGCCTCATTTTAACATGTCGAAATGTGGGTCAATGGCAGGGTCAGGATGGATTGGTCTTTAGGACCTATTTTTAACTTCAAAAAATAAAATAATGATTTATTAATTAAATATTAATTTTTTAATAATATAAATTAATTTTTTAAGTTTTTATTAATTTTTATAATTTTTAATTTATTGGCCCACTAATTTTTTATTTTTTATTTTAGTCTTTGATGAGTTGGTCCACTAGCTCACTAACCCACTGTTAAATGAGTTGAATAAAAAATATAATCTATTTTCTAAAATAGGATAAGATGAGTTGACTCACTTTAACACATCTAATTATTTATTAGCTTATAATCTTTATTTTCATCTACTTTTCTGTGTTTTTAAGCATGATTAGTAAAATAGAATCTCACATGAGTTTCAAAACAAAGAATAGTTTTAATTGAAGAGATTTGTATTAGGAAAGTCTATTTTGATGAAAAGAAACAATATTGAAAACGTTAAAAAAAAATTTGTGCAAATTTTGAAAGTTTAGTGAAGCATGTTTGTGAAAATATGTGCACACTCGTGCTAATTAACAATTCAGCACACTTAAAGTCCTTATAAAATTACTAACATGTCTGAGCAAAAAATTTTCACAACCATGCAGGTATTAGCACACTCATGCTATTATAAGTATGACTGTACTTTGGCAGATTTATCATACCTTTAATCACCTTATTAAGCTTGAACCTTAACAACAAATTGTGAATATCTTGAGCTCCTTGACGTGAAAGAACTGAGATACTTTTGATGCTTAATCACTAGGAAATTCTCTCTTCCCCCTCTAGGAGCCATTAGGAGTTTTAATTCTTACTAGATTATTTTGTAATAAAGGGTTACTATGAATATTGAATTTATGTTATTATTTTGAATTTGTTTATAATTATGAGTAAATAAATCTTTAAACGCAGACTATAGTGAATCTTATGTGTTAACTAGTTGTTTATCATATTTTAATATAATTTATGTTTTCTATTTTCATGTGATTGTTCTATTATTTTTATAAAAATATGTTAAGAATTAATTACTCTCAAAATAATCTTATTTAGTAAGTAAAACCTCGTGTTCTCAATTAGTGGCTCGTATAATAGAGTCAAGATGCATAGAAAGAATATCAAGGCTAGATGTAAAGCAAATGCTAATCCTCCTCCTCCTATATACAAAAAAAAAGAAAAAGAAAAACAGAAATAAAACTCCTTGAAACACAATTTTAAGGTAATAAACTGGACCAACGAAAATAGAGTGAGTTAGAAGACTCTCTAGAAAAATAAGTTCAAAATAGCAGCTTTTTTTTTTTTTTGGGTCAAACTCACTTCTTTTTTGTAAGTAATCTCATATTCAAAACCAACTTTTTCTTTTTCTATAATTATTTCTAGACCATTTTGCAAACAGTACCATATTATTTTAATATTTTTGCTTCCATGGAAGGTTCTTCGGTTGATCAAAAGCAGCATGACATACAGTGACCCAAAATATGTATTTTGTTTTATTAAGGAGTGACCCAAAAGTTAGAGACTTAACACTTGCTCACAAAGAATAAAAAGGGTCCAAAACAATAGCTTTGGATGACTAGGCCCAAAATATGTAGTGGATTGTTGTGCTGTTTTTTTCAGCCCACAATGAAAGACCAAAACCATGAAAAAAAAAAAACTACAATAAAAACACTCAGAGAAACGGTGAACTTGGCGGTGCCGTTGGCCATGGAAGAAGCAGAAGTAGGAGTTGCAGCAACAGCCTCTTCACAGAGAAAGCCAAAGAGGAAACGAGCCGTAGCACCGCGTGATCCTGAACTCGACCGTCTCAACTTGCTTCCATGGAACCCCGCTCTTCCTCAACACGACAACGACGACGACGACACCTTCTCCTTGTTCATTGGCTCCAACGAACTCGAAGGAGGTTCGTTCGTATAACATACTTATTTTTTAATTGCTATAAATATTTTGGAATCTGATTACATTTTATTTTTATTGAATAAACTTGAGAACTCAGCATTTTTACCTGAAGGATTTTGTTTGCATTGGTGGCCTTATGAAGAAACGTGTTGCTTCAAGTTCTAGGGTTTAAGATTTATCTTTTTGCTTTTATTTTATTTTGTTCGTGTTGTGGATGCAGGTTTTCTTTCGCTCGAGGAGATTGATGAGGCTGAATATGGTTTGAATATTCCTCAACCTGAAGATGACAAGAGGAAGAAGAAGAAGTCTAAAGAGGACGGAAATGTGAAGAAAAAGCAACAAGATGGAGTTGATGGTGTTTGTAGTGATGTGGCCGAAGCGCAGTTGGATGAGAGTATGGAATTAAAAGAGAAGAAAAAGAAGAAGAAGAAGAAGAAAAAGAAGGATGCTGGTGAAAACCAGAAAGTTGAGAAGTTAGATGCAGGTAATTGCGTGTTTAATTTTACTTAAATTAATTAATTTCAAATTATGTGTATGTATATGTGTTAGCATGCTCGCGTTTGTGTAAATTCCTGAAATGTGAATTGTTTGTGGTATGCTAATAATTGTTATGCTCGTGTTGGCATATCTGCTTCTAGGTTTAGATACTGATGTGAAGGGTGATGATATTGGGGAAGAGGACATCGATGAAACTGAATTTTATGCATGGAACGAGTTGAGGCTTCATCCTCTCCTAATGAAAGCAATAAGCAAGCTTGGCTTCAAGGAACCAACACCGATACAGAAGGCTTGTATTCCAGCTGCTGCTCATCAAGGGAAGGTTGTTTGAAGCTCTTGTTCAGGCCTTGTGTTGGTTTTTATACTAAGATTACTGGATTAGCTTTAATGAGAATTCTTGTGTCTGCATTTGTCAGGATGTTGTCGGGGCTGCTGAGACTGGATCTGGTAAAACCCTTGCATTTGGTTTGCCCATTTTGCAACGCATTTTGGAGGAGAGAGAGAAGGCTGCAAAAATTACTGAAGAAAGGGGTGACGAACCTGAAAAGTATGCTCCTACAGGCCTTTTAAGGGCTCTTATTATTGCTCCCACTAGAGAACTTGCACTTCAGGTACTTGTCAAGGCTTTCTGTTCATTTTCATTACTGTTAGTTGCTTTAGTATTATGATGATGTTTATATATGTTTGTTTTATATAACTAAGGTGGGAAGTGAGAAATTTTATGTTGTGCATTTTGTTTTACAGTAGTTACAAACGATTCTCACATGGTTTAATTTAGGCACTATTCTTGCCCATTAGAGAGAGTAACTTGGGTGGGATTTTCTTCCATGTTTACTTGCAACAATCAAGAGTTTTATGAGGATGATATCATGATAATAGATTTCTGAAGTTTTTATTGCAATGGGTGGGACCATGGGACAAGATTATTCTAACAGAACATAGCAAAATTGTGCCTCCTGATTACTGGAAACCAGTATTTCTACTCTATGGAATATGGTTTCAGTCAATGAATAATAGGTTAGACACCAAGAACACTTGTAGTAACAGGTGGGAGACTTTTCTAATCATATTAAAATGTGGGCCACTAAAAAGATCTGGTTTCTAAAAATGATATTTGGTTGGATTCAGGACTTCAAAGGTTGTTTGAAAACTGAAATGAATGCTAACAATGAGCAGTTTCAGCATTGAAAACAATTGACTGGTTTTTTTAAAGCATTCTAACTGAAATAAGTTAAATAATGCTGAAAACATTCAGCATGAAGGAGGTTTTTGCATCAATTTCTTCGTGATCTCAATGAAGAGAAGTATGCTAAAACTTTATATGCAGTTTTGTGAAGTAACCAATGTCATATGCTTGATATTGTCAGTCTGTTGGTTGGTTGTGCTAATTTTAGTTTCCTTAATTAGTTGTTCTTTTATAATATTTGTAGATTATTGTCATTGCATATGGTATTTTGTACTTATGCTCGCTGGCACTGCTGTACTGATGTTGTTTCATGTGGATCTACTGTTGAACATAGAAATAAGCTGTGCTGACATGTCAACCTTTGGAATCTAATTAAAATATAATATGAAAATCTTTATATTTAACATGCTTTCTGGGTCATTTTTTATTATTTGGTGCTGTGATTGCCTTTTCAGGTCACTGATCATCTGAAAGCTATAGCCAAGAATATTAATGTTAGGGTGACCCCTATAGTTGGGGGAATTTTAGCAGAAAAGCAGGAGAGACTTTTAAAAGCAAGGCCTGAGATTGTGGTTGGCACTCCAGGGAGGTTATGGGAACTTATGTCAGGTGGAGAGAAACATCTAGTTGAGGTAATTGCTAATGCTATGCATTATGAAGTATGAGTATCACTGAATATATATTCTTTCAGATTAAATTATTATTCTGGTGAATTATAATTCATTAGATAATTGACAAGGGGGAAAACATAGTGGAAAACTGGGAGTATAATTAGTAGCTCTCTTATCTGCAGAAGTAAATAGAAGAAAAATATGAATGGTGAAGAAGACAAGAAGCACCTAAATAATGGGCTCTTGGCAATTCTTGATCCTAAAGCCCTGATCAAAAGACTTATTTTATTGCAAGAGTGATATATTGCCTATTCCTATCTAAATATTATATTGGTTAAAGAAAAGGCAATGCATACTGGGTAATGTCTGATATCATTTTGCCTATGTTTATTAAATTGATACAGCAGGTAATAATATAAGTTGGAGTTCAATGCATAGACTTGACATATTGTTTTCATTCAGAGCATTTTTGACACAGCCATGTTGATTTGCAGTTACATTCATTGTCTTTCTTTGTACTTGATGAGGCTGATCGAATGGTACAAAATGGTCATTTTAAGGAGTTGCAGTCTATAATTGACATGCTTCCCATGTCCAACATCTCCACTGAAGATAAATCTCAATATGCACAAAATTGTGTTACAGTTTCTAGTTACCAAAGAAAAAAAAGGCAAACTCTTGTTTTTTCTGCAACTGTTGCGCTGTCTGCTGATTTTCGCAAGAAGCTAAAGCGTGGTTCAATACAACAGAAGCAATCATCGGCAGATGGATTGAATTCTATTGAAACTCTTTCTGAGCGAGCAGGAATGAGATCCAATGCTGCAATTATTGATCTTACTAATCCATCAATATTAGCAGCTAAGCTTGAGGAATCATTTATTGAGTATGTAAAGTCATATCTAATCTCTGGAACTCAAGTTTTAGAAAATGCTTATATTTCTTTAGTGGTGGAATCATTGTGTAGTTTATATGTGAATTTGGTACTTATTTACTTATGCCTACTATTGTGTTTCATTATATACCCTAGGCCACGTACTATCAATTCCTCCTTGTGCTAATAGAGTTCTAGTTTATTGTTGAGAGCTTTTGCTAAATTTCTTCATAGCCCCTTTTATAATCTTTTCAACTTGGAAGTCTCTCATACTCAGTATCCATAATTAATGTTTAGTATGACATGAGATGTAATTTTTGTTTGTTGATGCCACATTATTTGTTATTGGATGCAGATGCAGGGAAGAAGATAAAGATGCCTATTTGTATTATATTTTGACTGTCCATGGACATGGCCGCACAATAGTTTTCTGTACATCAATTGCAGCTTTACGGCATATTTCTTCCATACTGCGCATTCTTGGCATCAATGTTTGGACTCTTCATGCCCAAATGCAGCAGCGTGCACGTTTGAAGGTTTGCTTCCTGTTAGAAATAAAATATAAAACTGTTGGTGTGTGACTTTATAGTTTAAGCTTTTAGGGTAGTTGGTTTGGAATATGGTATTAGAGCAGAGTCTATCTAGTCTTGGTATCATAGTAGTCAATCTCAAATGATGGCATGGAAAAGCCAACCCCTAACACTACAGTGGATAGCGGGATGACCACTATTTTGAAGTTTTAAGTTACAAATATCATAAATTATATTCCACGCATGCACACAAATCTGCTGAAAAATATAAATACACCTAATATGGAAGACATTCATAATTAATGATCAAAGATGAGAATTTGAGAACTAAATGCACATCGATAACAATAAATGTCAAGAAATCACGTAAGATACCTATACAGTGATGGAACCAGTGCTTGGTGTTCCCTATGGCTGAGTGGCTGAAGCCATTGCTTTACAGCTTACGGGTTGACTAGAACAGTGATATCTTTACTGGGAAATGGCTGGAAAATGCTGTACCATACCAGAAATGTCTTCAGACAAAGATGGGTCTTTGTCAAACAGGAGAAGTGATATGTTTGTGGTTGGGCAGTGTAATCGCTGTGCAACACCAAAAATTTCGGCAGAAAATTAAGGTTTTTGAAATGGTAGAATAGTGGTTGAGATAGCAGTGATTTCCCACAATTGGCACTGCTATGAGCATGACACAGAACCTCTCTTTGGCTTGCTTTTTTCAAGTTCTGTTTTCTTTGCTGTGCTTAAAGGTCTATGGGATAATATAGTTAACCTTTCAGTCATCATGTTTGACTTTATTTCTCCATAGTATATAACATTGTATGTGATCATTGGTTGATTTGTTTTATTTGTGGAGCATCTGCAAAAGTTGAGTGGCGGTAAGGCATCTTTAAAGATGCATTTATTCTACTCCAATTAAATGTACCAAAGGACTGTAGAGTGTGCTAAACATCACAGAATTTGGTCTCCTTGACACCATGGCTTTGTAACTAACTGTTGGAAACCCTTCCAAAGTAGGCCATGCCCAAGGCTTGATAAAGACCCAAACATATTCCATAAGAAATTTATTGTCTTTTAGTGTTCTTGAACAAGTGTCCAATAGATTCTCATGTTGATCAACGCATAACACATTCATCAAGTGAAAGGGCAATGTGAGGCCTACTACTTGCACTGGGTCATTAGCATGGTAGTCAAAATCGAGATTCTATGTAAGATCAGAGGAGGGGTGTAAGATGGTAACTCGTAGAATCGTAACACGAATCGTAAGATCTTACAAAATTAGATAAATGTATATAAAATACTATAATGTATAAAAATAAAGGAAGATAAACAAAGAAAAATGAGGGAAGGAAACCACCCTTAACTCAAAACAAAATTAGGGACACATGCCCATTAAAAACAGAGACAAAGAAGAGAAAGAAAAGATAGATTAGGTAATGTAATATGATGGAAAGACTATTTTATCCTTAAAAAAATTTAAAACAGAATCATTTTAAGGGCAAAAAGGGAAAGTTATATTGTTTTTAAAAGGTAAAAAATCTTTTTTACCCTTAAGAAACCCTAAAATCTGCCTCATTCTGGGGATAGAAAGGAAAAGTCGACAACTTTTGCTCCAGCGGCACTGTTGATGGCTACAAATATAGCTGCGATGGTCGTTACAGTAAAACGTTCCGCTATGACAAGTCGCCGGTGCAGAGCAGAGTTGCCCACACAGAGCAGAGTCGTGAGAGCAGATTTTGTCATTAGAATGCAAGCTATAGGGATCGCAGAGCATAGGAACGAAATCAAAGATCAAAGGAACGGTCTAGGGATTGCAGAACAAAATCAATTTTAGGGTTTCAAGCAAACCGGGTCGCGGGTTATTGGGTTAGAAAACATGTGAGATCGTCCGTCCTTACCAGTTTTATGTTCTAGCATGGCGATCCCACCCGATCTGGCTAAATTACGATGGTAGTCAAAATCGCTCTCAGAAAAAGGAAAAAAAAAAAAGACTTAAGAGCTTTGATTTTCAACTCAGTTTACCCAGAGGGAATCTTTGATAATCAGGGTAGTGGCTAGTGGTAATAAGAATTGACAAGAAGGAAAGTAACCAAACTGAAGAATCTAGAGTCCAAACTCTTATTTTGAGGATTTCTTATGCTCAACTAATGATCTCAACTTTTTCGCCTAATAATATATGTATATTTTTTTTATAAAATAAAGTGAACCTAGATACTGAACTTTAAAAGTGTACTGCCCATCCATGAGCAATGTGTGGGTCTAATTTGTCTCTCCTTTCATATGGCATGGAGCTCAGATCCTTGAAATTGTGATTAACTATAGTATTTTATTCCTGAGTCATCTATTAATTTCATCAAATATTGCATTTTATTTCCCTAATCATTTTGTTTTTGTTTTCCTCCCTTGTTTGATGTAGGCCATTGATCGCTTTCGTGAAAATGAAAATGACATACTTGTTGCTACAGATGTTGCTGCCAGGGGTCTTGATATTCCTGGTGTTAGAACTGTTGTCCACTATCAACTTCCACATTCAGCAGAGGTTTGCTACCTTAATTCTTTAATCTATATATTTTTGTATATTACATCTGAAACTTGTTTTTTATTTTTAGGTTTATGTTCATAGAAGTGGAAGAACAGCCAGAGCTTCTGCTGAAGGTTGTAGTATTGCTTTAATCTCACCAAGAGATACGTCAAAGTTTGCTTCATTGTGCAAGTCATTTTCTAAGGTGTGTTCTTGGAACGGTATTTTTTTTTTTTGGGTTTAAATTTAAGCATTTATATCAGAGATATTAAAGTTGTACTTTGTTGCTATTTTTTTTTTCTCTCTGACTCAAGCTGGTTAATAAGAATTGGTTAAGATATGTTTTTGAAGAAAATGGAGTAAACTAAACATCTTTTACTTTAAAAAAAATAAGTCACTAATCCATGCTGCTTCATCTAGACCAAAATAATTAATTTACCTTTCTGTATTTTCTCTTGGTTGTTTATGCAGGATACCTTTCAGCGGTTTCCTTTAGAGAACTCATACATGCCAGAGGTCCTAAAACGATTGTCTCTTGCACGTCAAATAGACAAAATAACAAGGAAGGATTCCCAGGTATACTGATTCAGCTGAATTCATACTGTTAAGCTTCTGGAATTTATTCATGCAACCATGTTAACTTAAATGAATCAAGTGAGCTTGGAATTTGTCATTTTTGTATATATGATTTAAGATTGTTTTGAATTTAATTACCCAACCTGATAGATATTCTTGTATGCCCTTACTTTTCAGGTTAAAAAGTTAAATTTATGTTTTGCTTTATTACTTCCTTTCTGACAGTTTCTCTATTCAATGATTCTTGATTTGGTAGTCTCTAATGGTTGTAGGTTATAGCCTTGTCTATGTTTTTTTTACCTTGTCAGGAATCTTATGCTTCAACCATTTCTGACCAGATGTGTACTTCTATGTATGAATTGTATTTTTCTTATTGTAGGAAAAGGCTGAGAAAACATGGTTTGATCGGAATGCTAACTCAGTGGAACTAGTTACAGAAAATTATGACAGTGAGGAGGAACAAATGAACAAATATAAACAAATGAAAGCCAGCTCTAGACAATTGAAGAAATTGCAGGAGGTTTGATACTCTCTTTTTAAAAAAAAATGAAATGATGTGTAGCCAATATTTCTTAGTCCTTCAAAAGTACTTAATTTTCAAATTTTATAAATTGCAGGAGCTCAATGTGCTGATTTCTCGTCCGTTACAATCAAAAACATTTTCGCATCGATATTTAGCAGGGGTATTGTCCTTATTATGTTGTTATTTCACCCTGGCACTTACTCTTGACTACTTTCATCATGCCCTTTGACCAAGAGTGATCATTGTTACAAAAGTATAATTCTACTTTTTGATGATATTATTTGGAAGTAGCATAGTCATTGACAAGCAGCACATAGAGCACAAGTATATCAATTTAATGTGCATGCCTTTGTTTCCGTCATTTCAAAGTGAGATCTTGGGGTGAGCTGGCTGTAGTACTTCTAGGTGCTAACAATTCTATCATCCCACCAGAGTGTGGCCATATGTTTTCCATTTTCTACTATAAAATCAATCGTAATTGGTAATCTATTTGTTAGATCTGTATATGCTACCAGGATAAGCTTAATATTTTCTTCTCAGCGAAGAAAGGATTTTTGGTATTTTCCTGTTGGATAATGCCTCAATAGTGTCATGCTAACTGATAAATGTCAAGATGGTAATGTAATGCCTTAATGTTTAAAAATTGATTGGATAGACATTATTGGGAGCATGTTTTTTCATTGTTTCTTTTCCTTTCATCTTTTATTTTTTACCTTAACGTTTGGGGACAAATTTCTAATGTAATACTTACTCTCTTTCAGGCTGGTGTCACACCCCTCATGCAGGAACAACTGCAACAATTAGCAAGGCAAAAATTAAGTGGTCACCAAGGTTCAGGACTGGGCAAAAAAGGAAAATTGGTTGTGATTGGTCAAGATTGTGTGGAAGCACTTCAGGCACTACGAAATGCTGGTGAAGAGGTATAAAGTTTCACCTTTTTTCATATTCTGGCATTTTTTTACTTTGTGAATCGTGTCATGGTCAACAAAGGTTCAGACTTCCGACATGAGGTTTGCCTTGCCTGATATATAAATTATGTCCTGATGTTGTAAATGTCATATTTTCTTCAGAAAAAGAGCATTGCTAAAATTGCATTGTTCTTCTTCCTCTTTTTTCCTTCCATCTTATTTTCTTTATTTGGCCTTTCATTTCATACTCTTGGATATTGAAAGTGTTTTTGGGTTAACTTCTTGATTATAGGAAAAATGATAGCTATATGTGTTATATGATTTAATTTTTTATCATATGTTGATGTAGAATTTTTACACTATCATCTATGTATTGCCCTATACATCATTAAAATAGCTTAACTTTGGTAACTACTATCTGATCGAACTCTATGGGTGACGTGGTAGCATATAATTTGATGATAGTGTATAAAAACAATTATATTGTTAGTAGATCAAAATTAAACTCCTATTTATTTTTAAAAAAAGTATAATCTAGTTTCTTGTGGCAGAAATATTAGGAAATTCTGTTTAGTAGAAGGGTAATATTCACCTTGCTTTAAGATTGAACTTATGTTTTGTTCGTATTGTTTTTCCTTTTGCCTCTTTTCTCACAGGTGCGAATGGATGTCAAGGATATGAAAGGAAAACAGAGAAATATAGATAATTTGAAAAGAAAGAGAAAAGAGGAGAAGAAACGTAAGCTTTTAGTCTTAATATATCGTTTTCTTCCTTATTCTTTAATTTATTATTTGCGCTTCTAGTTGGTTACAAAAACTAAAACACTGGTATGCTGTTCCAGGTTTGCGTGATCAGCGTAGAAAGCAGAAGAGAAAGCTAAAACATGAGAATGAATAAGAATTGTATACATCAGTGAGACATTAAGGTAAAGTTTTGCACAACCAAAATTTTGTTATATGTTGCTGAAATTTTTAAAGCAGCGTCTGTAGTTTCTCCTGCTTAGTTTTGGACCTTTGAATTTGTGGATGAATGTATCACATACAAGATCCTGTATCGAGTAGTGGATATGATTGAGTTTATCGTAGGAGCCCCATTATCATCTTTGATAATTATCATGTAATAGTCATGTTTGAAGAATGCAGTGTTTCTAGATTCACATTGGCCAGATTGCTGCAGCAGAGACTAGACTTTCTCGTGGGATTATTGTTTGGAATTTTGCTCAGTCGCCTTACTTTATATTTAGCCAATTTTAAATGTTCTGAATAACAAATATGGATCAGTGATTTGTTGGGAAGAAAGACTAGCAACGAGTTTATTTAGCTTCTCTCTTATGGAATCAAATAATCAGTGATGTCATGGTAGTTGTTCCCACTCAAATAAAGAGCATGCATGGAAATGTTATAAAGTAAAATGTGTATCGGACTCCTGAAAAGAGAATATAGGTTTGAAATAAGCCTTTCACTAGAAATCCCGATGATAATGTATTAATAATTTTCAATATATATATATATATATATATATATATATATATATATTTTAGTTAGTGTTTTAGAACACTGATTAATATTAATTTTTAAATAAATAATTATAAAATTATAGAATAAAATGTGTTCAATTTTTTATTTTAGGAGTCTTGTTTTGTAATTGGCAAATGCTGTATAAAAAACAAAGCTTATTTTGTCAAACCAGAGAAGTCCTTAATAATCCAAGATTGTCAACTGCTTCACTGGAGTGAGATTTTACAATCTGTCAAGGAATTGTTGCCTTTAATTATTATGATAAAAACTTGGATTTAGGATCATGGTCTACTATTCTCGTATATTTATCGTTACTCTATTATTTAAGATTTTTCTTATGTAAAATATCTTTATTATTAATATGGTTATAAGAGAAAAAAAAATGAACACTTTAAAAAAATTACTAAATAAAAGTAATAATAAATATTTAAAAATATCAAAAGGCACACCCATATAAACATTTATTTTTCTTGGCTTGAAACAAGAAATAAACTATACTATTGTTGTAAATGGAAATGGTAATTTATGTTATTATCATTCATCTGTACCTTTATGATCCATTTGGATTAAAAGGAAAACCAAATCAACGATGCGTGTTTTTTTTTTCGGTTTAAAAGAAAATTAAAGAAAATAAAAGTATAACTTTTTGAAGCCAAAGTTTAAAGCTTTCCTTCTACTATTTTCTCTTCAATTTAAATTAAATTTTTTCCCCATCCTCGCTTTCTGTCTACCGACCAAATGGAGGATAAATATTTAGGCTCAAGTCCGCCATTCTAAGTATGTATCGTAGCATAGGTGTGGATCATTTGCACTGATATTTTTACTGAGAAAAATTTCATATATTCAAATTATATTATTACAATGTTTTTTTAAAAAACAATATTATTGTAACATTGGACCTATTCCATGAGTTAACGATATAAATTACAATATATTCTTTGGTGAACTAAAATACTTCAACCAAATACAGTTTTTATGTTGTGATTTTTCTATCTTATAGTAACAAACAAAAAGGTTTTCTTTGACAAGAGAAATTTTTTTATATTAATTTGAATCAATAAATATATCTTAGATATATTTACTCAACCTGGGTGTGGATATAAGTTCCTTAAATTTCAAGAAGTCTTTTAATAGTTCGAAACTAAAAGGGATCTAAATAGGTCAACATAATAGGCTGGTCCAGTTTTTGTAACGTATAATTAAAAATTCCACAAGGTATTCTAATTGTATTATGCTATGATAAAAAATACTTATGCAAGTGTATTAACTGGAATTGATGCCCACTGATTGAATGAGCTGAAAGTTCTGAGAGAACGAAACATGCAGATTTGGCTCCAAATTTTAGAAGAACCATCATTTGTGCTGATGGAATCAAATCCTTTGATTTCAGGCAGAACCTTCTGTTCTATGCATTGCAATTCTCTTAATTATGTAAAGTAAAAAGGGTTTATTCCGTTACCGAATTTTGACCCGCACTTAAATAAGTTATGTGGAATGTATTCTAATATCAATTATTATATAGTAGTTTAATGATTTATTTGGGAGCTGTTTGTGACAAGTGATGAGTGCAAGAAAGAGGATTGTTGTGGGCCATTTAATGTGGAAATGGCATATTCTTAACCTCATAGCTTGGAAATTAAACTATGGATTGTCTATACAAAGTTAACAGGAAATATCACGGTGAAAAAGAAGAGCACAACTTTGTTTTTGGCTCAAGACTTGAGAAAGGTTATCAAGAAGGAACTTAAAACTATTTCCAAGTTGAAAAGAGAGAGTGATCGACATATTAACATAGTATATTATATTATTATCACCTTTAGGAAACTAATACACAGTAATCGTTAGTTTTTGTTCATAGATTTGTGGTTATTGATATTCTTAAGCATCCATAGCATGAATTGGCATAATATTTTTGTCGCCACATAAAAATAAATAATATGTGTTAAAAGATAAAGAAAAAGGCGATTGATGTGATGTGACAAAAAAGAAATAAAAACCGTGACTAAAATATACAGTTGTATAAAAATAAAAAAGTTTAATTAAGTAGTTTTAATTTAAAATTAAATGTAACTAATTTAAATTATTAAATATAATTAAGATATGCGCATAAATTAATTTAAATTACATTTTTATAGATATATATTATTAAAAAGAATTACGAATTTTCTAACTACCAAACAATGCATAAATTTCAAATATAGTATTAGATATGGTGGCTGAATCAAAACTGAGTTAGCCAAGAGAATAGAAACATGAATAGAAGACACCATCATTCACAATTTGACCAATTGAGTTGGCCAATTAAGAGAAAGACTTGTGAACCAATTATAGAAAAAGTAATGAGTAAAAATATGTTTGATAAAGTTTTTCAACTAAAAATTAATTTTATTAACTGAAGCTGTAGACAAACTCTTACAACCTACCTTTCTCCTTTGAATTTGGAATCCATGAGTACCACGTGCACCCCATATTCACCATTTCATTCCAAAAAAGTACACATTATCTTCCCAAGCAATTGAATTTTTACATTTATATTAAAATAAAAATTTCATTTAAATTAAAAAATAATAACATTTATAATTTTACACTTAAATTTTGTGAAGCAAATAATTATCTCATTGTTGCCCGTTCGTCTTGGGGCAGCTTCTCCCTTACCGACAACACAAACAAACATCCCTCTCGGGCAGTTCTATTCTACCCGTTTCACACTCGCTCTCTCCACTATAAATGCTCCATTTCACCGCTTACGGAATCACCCGGTTCCACACTTTAATTTCGCAGGGAAAATGTGGCTCCATCTGAGAAAATGACACTAACTTAGCTATTAGTAGCCATAGTTGAATTTTCTCCATAACTTAGTGTGCTCACCGTGCCGTTGAATTTTGCTGAAGGCGAAGGGAAAGAGAAGAGAGCATGTGGAAGCTCGCGCGACTCGCTGCCGCCGCGAATCTCGCACGATCGCGGCGATTCTCCACCGTGATTCCTGGTCCGTGCATTGTTCACAAGCGCGGTGCTGACATACTCCACGATCCCTGGTTCAACAAGGTTTTTCACGTCACTACACTTGCTCTTCAACTCCGCTTTCTGTTTTCTACTAGTTTCTCTGTCTTGCCAGCTTCCTATTCACTTCAATTAAGCAAAAACTGTTCGTGCTTGAAAGCCTAAATTTATTTTTGTTGTTGTTGTTGTTGTTATTATTATTTTCGAATTTTCGGACTCGCAATAAGAATTCGTATATATAGTAATTTTTTTTATTGAAAATAATAAGATATAATTTTATTATTATTGTTGTTGTAGTTATTGTTTTTGCAATTTTGTTTTTAATTTAGGATATGGAATGGTATAATTTTGAATAAGAACTTATTATTTTTTAATTTTTTAACATGTGATTTTGGGCACAGGGTAGCGAAATCGCTATTATTATTATTATCTGGTGATTTTGGTTTTTGTTTGAGTTAATGAGAACGTGCGTTGACGACTCTGAAATCAGTTTAGATTGTTAATTAATAAGTGTCTATATGATTACGTGAAAATAGAAGCTAATAAGCAAAATTTGTAAAATAAGAGGAAAAAAGCGAGTTATTCAGTATCGTTGAAGTTTTCCGTTTTATGTGAATAAAGTTTGGTTGAATGCTGAATATGCATTCGTGACAAAAATGGTGCTTCTTAGACTTAGTTCTCATGGCTTTTTGGTTTTACGTAATCTTTGGGACGATGTGAAATTGGCAATGAAGTCTTTCATCACGGTTTTCTTCAGGATTCCCAACCTCTGATTTATTTATTTATTTATTTTTGAAATTTTTGGAATGCAGGATACTGGGTTTCCTTACACTGAAAGGGATAGATTGGGGCTTCGGGGCCTCCTTCCTCCACGTGTTATATCCTTTGAGCAACAATATGATCGCTTTAGTAAGTTTGAGACCTACTCTTCTAATATTTATTAATCAGGATACTTAAGTTGTGTTCATTTTGCCCATCTTCTGATAGCCATATTATCTACTTTGCTAGTGTGTTTGGGTTCAAGCATTTTAACCGTTTTGTAGTTTTATTCTTCAGCAATATTTGATAAGCAAATGTTTTATTTTTCCCCAGTGAATTCCTTCCGATCTTTGGAGAAGAATACTCAGGGGCAACCAGATAAAGTTGTTTCCCTAGCAAAATGGAGAATCTTAAATAGGTTGCATGACAGGAACGAGACTTTGTACTACAGAGTGAGTTAAATGATGAAGTTTGTGTTTTTTGTTTTTTGAACTGAATTGCTTGTTAGTGCAAGAGTGTAATTGATAAATGATTCTTACATCGTTATATTTCATTTCTTTTCAGGTTCTTATTGATAATATTAAAGAGTTTGCTCCAATAATATATACTCCTACAGTTGGATTAGTGTGTCAAAATTATTCAGGCTTATTTAGACGACCACGCGGAATGTATTTTAGTGCGAAAGATAAAGGAGAGATGATGTCAATGATCTACAACTGGCCAGCTCATCAGGTATCAAATTAGGTTTGTTAAAAATGCAGTAGTATCATTTTCTTTTTTGTTCAGTATTTTAATTGGAAACAGTCGTTTTTCTTTCATTCTTTCCTTCTAATCACTGCACAGTATTATTCATTGTGAAGTTTTAAACTATTGAAACACTTACTTGATTTCTCTAATTCTAATGCTGAATTTTGTATATTTCCACTCCTTGAGTGGTAGATAAACACATATTCAGTTGGCTTGAATTTGTGATAATTTCCTCTTATTTAGTTTAATAAAATGATTCTCAGTAAGTTATACGTCAAAATTTTCAATTCTGTTAAAGGAA